CCCAGCTTTCTCCCAACCTACTCCTACACCATAAAACATCCCACGTCGGGGTAGTCGGTGGTTGGACATACGCGACACATTTCCCAGCCATCTCAACTGACGAAGTTTCACTACTTCGTCGATTTATTTGCCATCTTTACCTAGTACCCATTTACTAACAACTGAGTTACTTACTCGATGGTCCCAGGATATACGAGCAATATTTCGAAGACACCTATAATCAAATACTAGTAACCCACGAATATCCTCTACTCATACCAACCATGTTTCACAGTCACAAAGTAGGACGGAACGAGCTTCTGCGCAGTAAACACGTCCTTTGGTTGGTAGATGGATTTATCACCTACGCCATAAATGACGCAAGTTGGCAAAAGCTAGTTCAGCCTTCTGTATCCGTGCTGAGAGTTAGTCACCCACCAAACCACAAGGGCTGATGAGACTCTCAAGATAATTGAAGCGGTCGATACGCTAAATTACTTCACTCCCTATCATTAGTTCGGGTGTCGATGTAAACCAATCCTGAAGCAACATTTTGCATTTCGAGGGGTGGGGATCACATCCCGAACACGCTTGCATTGTTGCTTAGAGTGGTCAGAAGGCTCTGCATTTTGTCAGCGTCTACACCAAATGGAACCATGTCATTGGCATATTCTAAGTTAAAAAGTGAATCTCTCGGCAGAAATTCAACCCTTGGAAATTTAGATAAGGGAAGTATTATCTCTAAAAGCATGTCAGCAACAAAGTTAAACAAGAATGGAGAGAGTGAGCAGCCTTGACTAACACCACTTAAGGTAATCAATTCTGCTGACAGTTCGCCATAAGCTCTCACTCTACCAGTTGTGTTTGAGTAGAGAACATGTATAAAGTTAACAACTCCTGTAGACTGTTTTAATCAATATGTAGCTTTTTAACAATAATAAAAAAACCATTTACTGACTTGGAAAACCACACAAATTTCTTTGTTATCAAGTAAATCAAACTGAATTTTATTTATCATTATAAAATTCGTGTTATTCTGTTAGTTTAAGGTTAAATGCCTTTTTTTAACGAATAAAAAACGTAGTTGGGCAAACAAATATTCCGACGATTATTTATCATGAATTTGACAATGTTCAGTATTAGTTTTACGATTATTTTCAAATCAGTTTATTACAATGAGAAACTAAGTGACCTCTTTATTATTTGATTCATTTACCCATATCAGATCCTATTACATTTAAATGTTATTGAGTTTAAGTCAAGTTCTAAGGTTTTGTATAATGACATTTAATGATGAATGAATACGTGAACACTTTCTAATAAATCATATACAGTAATTTTGGATGTTAATCACGAACTGATTTCACAAAATTTTCATAGCCTACATTTTATATATTTGAAAGTAATGGATCTATAATGTCACTTGACATTACTATGAGAACTGTTCTTAGAATATCATTGATAGCAAATTGAAGGAATGATAAAGTTAACCTAATTCGTGAATTTATCTTTCTGGATATCAAGAAGTTAATAATTTAATGATATACACTTATATTAAAAATTTCCTTAATAAATTTCTGTTCAACGTAGTATGTTGAGCATTTCAATTTAATTATAATCAGAGTAATAATGACTACAAAACGATGAGATGATTTTTCTAATTGAATAGGAGCAAATTCTTTGGAACAAGCCCTGTAATGCTTTGAATTTAAAGCATATAATATTTAATAAATATAACAAAATAAATTTACGTACTACATTTTCATATCGTACTGAGAGAGACTATAAGCTAACGTTAACTAAGTATATTATACAAGTAGATATATAGGAAATTAGGCCCATAGATTAGTGGATTAATACAAATATGAAGTAAGCATTATAAACTTGAATGTATTTAACAAACAAATAATCAGTGGAGTTCAACCAGGTCTGTTGTGAGATAGTAAATCACTGATGACAATGGTGAATGTGTCGCTCAATTTTGTGGATTAGTTGAAGTTAGACATTAACACTGTTGGACGCCGGCTCAGTGGTCTAGAGGTTAAGTGCTCGCGCGCGAGACTGACAGGTTCTGGGTTCGAATCCCGCGAGCAGGGTCCTGGATGCGCACTGCTGAGGAAAGTTTGTTCAAAGAGCCAAGTTTCAATAGTTATTGAATAGTCCAATCCAGGATAGTAATGACAGAAAATATGGAAATCATTCAATAGATAATGCGCTTTTGGGAATTTCTGTTAGATATCAAATAAATACCATAAACTGTACGATCCAACTTTGAACACAGATTATGAATTAAGAATTGACTGTAATTAATGTAGTTTTGTCAACTTTAATAGGTTTCAAAATGATTAACACATAATGACTGAATGAATCGAGTTGTGGGTCAAATTCTCAGATTATTTCGTACACATAGTTCCCTTTATTATTTTAAAGAGAGCAAGAACAAAGGTTGGTGCAGAATAATATGGATTCATTTTATTTCATTAGGTTCTCATCAGCTGCTTACAACCTAAAATATTTGAAAATCAGGGTTATTACGTATATTGACTGTTGTAACGTGTGGATTGCACGGTTAGATGCGCAGCGTATTTATTGATCGAATCAGTGACACGTAAAACACGTAAGGACGACCTAGAGTCCCGATTGGTCCCGCTTCCCTGTCTAGCCCAGCCAGTTGAGTCTAGAACGCATGTCACAACCTCTGAATTATGAATCATCATATTTAAGCCATACTCTGTTTATATACCAAACAAACAAACCACATCGTACCATAAAATAGAAAACAACATTTACACAATATTTAACGAGTGAAATAAATAGTGGCCAACAGGGAATGTCCATTTAAGGTCCAAGGACATCATTAGACTTAACATGATAATGATTGGTATATTATTCTGCATCCATAACATTGACATACTTATACAACAGAGGGCGATGAAGGATGAATATATGTAACATGATGTAGCAAAGATTTCGTTAGAGTTAATGAGGTCACAAAATTTTGTTTCGAATATATAGAGTTTGGGAGGCAAGGTTCCAGAAAATTGAAATAAGGATTAGAAATCATGGAATTAGAACACATTAGATTATTATGCAATGAAGTAACTGAAAATAGATTAATGTTAATAAAGAGAGATATGAATTGAAATTGGTCAGTTATGAATGATGTAATTATAAAATTCAGAAAGAGTTGGAATGACGTAATAAATAAAAAATAAAAAGGGGGGAATGTTACCAGGGCAAAGATTATTATTATTATTAATCAAAATAAGTATCAGTAAACTAGGTTAGATAGAATAATTGTATAACTGAGAATAATATTAAACGTACGGTGAGATTACGTAATGCACGAATCGATTTTTACTGAAAGATAGAAAATGGAATGCACTTATACTCCTACACAGAGAAAATAATTAAACCAGATAGATGTAAGTTCAGTCAAATGTAGAGTGGGAGTAAATAAGCACATTTGGTTACCTTATGGTAAACACGATCGATCAGTTATGGAGACAATGTGGTTAACTTAATAGAAGTTTTCAAAAACCTAAGTAGCTATTTCTTGGACTTTTAGTTCATTTGAATTAAGTGTGCTAAAATGGAACCTTCTTAGGCTAAGACTATAATTTTCGTCTGAAGATGGTATGATAGATATACTTTTGAATAACTTTACAGGAACTAAAAAGTGATTATTTTCTTATAAACACATACATTGAATTAGATTCAAATGTTTCCTATGAGATTATCCATTACCTATTGTCCACGGTTGATTTTCTTTCTTGATGCGGTTCATAAGTATACTTTCAGCAAATTTATGAACTTTCATCCCTAAGAAAGACAACCGATAGGAACTTTTCATCTGTCCTTAAGGAAGGTGTGTCTCTCTTAATTAGGTTTCGCATTTAACTAGTGTTTTGAGTCATTGATATGTTACTGTTGCAAGTGAGAATTTAGTCAGTTTGGGTCGGCTTTCAATGTACTAAAAATCCTACTTCTCTTGTGCTGCTTCAGATCAGCTCAGACAATCGAAGATATAAATGATAAATAATTTGCCTTCAAAACTATTCTATCACCACTTTGCCTACTATTCCATCAATTTTTTAGTTGTTTTAAATAAATTTGGGTATTTTGTATGGTATGGTTTTGATCAGTCAGTCTAACAAAAACAGTATTCAAATGATCATATCTAATAATGGAGGCAAACATGGTTATAATAGTTAAGAATACTAGTATATTGTGTATGAATTGCATAAAATCTATAAAGCTAAATAAATACCACTTAGATCGTAAATTAGTCTTTGAATCCGAAAACACTGAACGCAGGAAAGTATTTGATTCACACAATTTGATCTACCGTGAAACTGAAGGAGTACAAGCCCACAGCGTTTTACTTGAAGTTGTTCATTTTTTATTATTTATCCTGTGTTTGATGAGTTTCTTTCAAGCTAGCTGCCTGAACTCTTAAACGAACTACTTCTTATTATTTGGTACTTACCTTCATCTTCAACGACATCCTCAGTCTTATTACGATGGTCAACCTCATCTATTTTTAATATGGTATGCCCTTTTATCAGCTCGGATTATCATTATTCATTATTTTCCAAAATTCTTAGTCATGTATAGTTTGCTACATCCGAGTTATTGTGGTTTGTCATAACTCATGTTGGGTTTCTCCATTTAATAATGACGCTTCTAATGAGGTACCTAATATACAACATTCATTAGGAATAGTATTGATACTGGTAATTCAATTTTATTTTTATCATTTTCACTTTGACAATCTGACGAAACAACCAGTAATCTAGCAAATTTCTTTGAAAAATTCACTCTCTTCACCACATTGATTCAGTTAATCTCTCTTTCTGTTTGTTTTTTTCTATTTTATTTCCCGACTATACTGTTTAGAGATTTCTATACTTGAATACATTTGACATTATTCTATTCAACTTCATAATTACAATTATCTGGTAATTTTTCACCATTTATGTAGTTTTCTTTTATGTTCATTAACATATGTCCAACATTTTCGATAATAAAAGAGAAATGTATTTTTCTCAACAAAAAAAAAACGAAAAAATAAAATATCATTACGAATAATTAATAACTTCACACTATATAATTTAACATCTAGTCACGTCATTGCTTACATTCAATAGAATATCAAAAATAAATAAAAATTCTCAAAGATGATTCAAGAATGTTTGTTGTTTTAAAATCATGAACTGGAGACAATTGAGAAATTATTGTACATTGAAATATTTATCATATTGTTTAACAACAGTTCATCTTCTCCTTACACACACACACACACACACACACTTACATCATGTTGTGAAGAAAGAATAAAAATGAACTCAATATACACTTGTCGTCTCAACATGTATAGATTTATGTATACATATATGCACAACATATTAAGAGCAGTAGTTACCGACATTAATTACACATTGCGTGAGATAAAGTAGAACTATTTCTTAAGATATAATAAATATAGATCAATGAATAAAGTATAGATTAATTGATGTAAATGAATTCAATTATTGACATCATAATTATCAAAGAAACAGTATGAATACAACTATACAATCAAAATTAGTAGTAAATAATGAATAAGATTCTTATGAAATGAATAAAGGAGACTTTATTTTTACAAAGCACAATGACACAAAGGAATGAGGTTAGGAAAGACGAAAATTGGAAAAAGGAAATCAACGTGACTATAAAGTCAGTTATCATTAATAAAGTATTATCCATAGTATTTTGTTAGCAATAGTAATGATAATAATAATATTGAAACATACTTATACTCCACTTAAAGATAAATTGATTGTTCAAATATCAAAAGAAAGAATGAATCTCTTCTTCGTTTTCATCGATGATAAAATGAAAATAGAGAAAAGTCGATAGGAAAAATAAGAATCAGTGTCGAATAAATCAAATTGATTGTTGAATAAATCTACTATCGACGATATATATTACGATGATACATTTGTAGAATATGTTCCGATTGGTGGTTTATACAATCTTGGAAATGATAATAGCTGGAGACGACTGAACGCATATTTACGTTTACCAGTGTTTTTCATTACATTATCTAAACGTAGACCAGTGCTTCGAATACATTGAAGAGCTTTGGTAAAACAACTTTCATGCATACCTTCACTCTTGAAAAATATAAAAAAAGAAGTAGAAACAAGAGAAAATTTACGTCTTTGAGATGAAACAAATCATGGTTGATACTATCAACAAACATATCTTTATTATACACTACATATAATTGAAAAGCTATGCAACTGCAGATACTGTAGGATTAGTAACAATATCAGTCAGTTGTTCAAACAAAATTAATGATACAATACATACAAGCTTGAAACCCTGGTTCCAAATTATAGGTTCGAATATGAACAGTCCTTACATATGGAAAAGATAAGTGCAAGACTAATTAGAAAACAATGTGTTTATTATAAATTGATGGATGATTTAAAATACAAATTCGCTGAGGATACCAGATGTATCTAACTGTTTAATGTACGAAACCTAAATGTAAAGCTTCACTTATCCTAATTTTGGTAACTAAAAGTTTAGTGAAACAGCATTTCTGATAAATAAGTTTATTGAAAAGATTTAACTTAACAATTCAAATTAGATCAAAATATGAATGAATGAATGAATGAATGAATGAATGAATGAATGAATAATAATAATTTCCTATATATTTTTTAATACTCAAATGAGTAGAACTAAGAAATCTGTTGAAGACGTTATTAATCAACCTATTCCATATTACACCATAAAAATAAATACAAGCTAAATAAGATCATGACAATTATTCACTTGCATTTACATCAATACTGAACCAAAAATAGTTGAGCATAGACCCACATTTAACTCAACTGAAGTCATAAGACATGTTCGTATTTACTTAGTGATCTGTTTTAGTTCATTGTAGTAAAGTTAAAAAATTATTTATTCACTGAACAGTCGATTTAAACTAGGTCGCATATTGACTGACATTTTTTTCTCGAAACTGGAAAAACGACGCACTAGCACAACAGATTGACAAGCTTTCATTTAACTGCCGATATATGGACGATAGATTTATCCCTTGTAATGACTATATTTGATAGAAAAAACACTTGAGCGATTAAATACAGTTCATCCGTTCATAAAATTCACATGTGAGGAAGAGAATAGAGATAGAATAGTCTTTCTAGATATTCTACTTACAAGGAGAATAGATGGGTCATTAAGAACAAACATAAACAAGAAAACTACTTGGACGGGCCAATATACGAATTCTCTTAGTTTTGTTCTTCTACAGTAAAAAAGGAACCTGGTTAAAACACTGTACCATAGAATCAAGACCATATGCTCTAGATGCAGTCGAAGACGAAACAAAGGCTTTGTACGCGTCTCTGAAAGGAAATGGATATCCGGAGAAATTTATAAATGAAAGCATAACCATTAAAAGAGAGCATAAGGAATGTCTAACCGTGAACAAAACACCTCTGTACATACGCTTACAATTCAGAGGAGATGAATCTAGTGTAATTCTAAGACTGGAGTTACGCAGATCAATCCAAAGAACTTTTAATGCAGGTAAACTACAATTAATGTTTCCCACACGTCTAATGATCACTCCGAGACTGAAAGATAAATTGCCTAGACTAGCCAACTCTTTCTGTCTCTATTAATTCAGCTGTTCCTGTGGAGCAAGTTATATTAAGAGATGTTCTAGGAATTTATATATTCCGGCTCGTAAGCACTTCCGAAAATGGTTAAGCAAAGGTGTAATTAAAACTGTTAACAGCTCCATTTTAGTCCATTTAATTCAGACAGGACATACAGCAAATATGGGGCTATCTTTCGCAATAACAGCCAATGGTTAAACTTTCAACAACAAAAAACCAGTGCCATGTAGACGATAAGTGTAAATTAACAATTTTAATAATTCCATATATATATATATATATATATATATAATTTTGATCAGTTAGAAGTTCTACACCATGATCAGTCACTAAGTAGTGGTGATAACCAGCAGAGAGTGTTGTTTCAATTATTCAAATGGCAAATCCAAAGTGGAAGATACTTACACTAAACTATACACTGAGTGATATCGAGTAATGATACATCGACAATTTAAATAGATTACCAATAATTTGTACATCAATACTGCTGGCACGATCGAAAAAGATTAATAATGTTCATAGATGTTATGAATACATTCCACTAATATGTATTTGGAAAAAAAGAAAGACTATATCAGTGTGGGCTTTCTGTCAATTACTACTTTAGAATTGTACTACTGAAAGAGTTATTTGTAGCATAAAATATTTAATCACTTTGTAAAACATATATAACCCCAAAATACTAATGCCACAGAACAGAGATAGTGAAAAACAGAGGTAGAATTTACTTTTTCATAGCATACATAACAATCAGTCAGTCATTGACAACGTAGAACTTCGTACGTATGTATATCAGTTCCATTTGCCATACCACATTAGCACACACATACAATTGTCGATACAAATCCCATAGTGGTACAAGTACTAAATGCATAAGCATTAATCGGAAAAATTAGGGTTTGAAGATGTTAGTCAAGATGTATAATCCAGTGACACAAATTGGAAAAGAGAAAAAGAAAAGAGACATGAAGAATTCAGAAGATTGGAATTTGGGAGAACACAAATAGTGGATGCCCCTGCATCATTGCAAACGATTTCGAGTCATACGTTTTGAGCATACACAACAACAACAATGAAAAACATTTAACAAATGAACATGAAATCTATTTTAAAAAATTAAATAAAGGGATCATCAGAACAATATCCTAAGTAAAGAAGGTGTTTAATATAAACTATAATGGATAGTATCCATCAACAGAAAAACAAATTCATTAATGCATATTTTCCAAAAATAATAAATAATATTTCAATAAATCACGCTATATATATATATAAAGAAAACTTGACCAGAAACTAATGCTACACATGCGATTACAATACAAAATGAACAGAAATATTATTCATAATGAAAATGAATTAATGAATTTTTAATTACATGAATAAAACAAATTAAACAATGCGCATAAACATATTAAACTGTAATAATTCCTGTTGAACTACCGGCATTCAACTTTTACTATGTAAAAACAATAACAAAAAAAAACATAATGATTCTATATCTCATACATATCATATGTAAGGTAATAATACTCATAGATAAGATAAATTAATAATAGAAACGCAATAACAGAATGAAATTAAAAAAGTATGAACGATGAACAAGAGAAAGGGATGAGAAATGAGATATACACATTGTTTTATTACCATAGTAACAGAACCAATTTTATAAATGAGAAAAAAGAATCACTTTTACATTTTTTAAAATTAATTATCTATTTGAATTTAACTTGTTGAGAGAAAAGGTAAACATGCGAACATATACTTTTTGTTATTCCATTTCTTCGCTTAATAATAATTGTTTTTGCCTTATACTATACTAATTACAAAATTTCTAAAGATATCAGTAAGAGTAGGAGAAAAAACTTTTTTTTTAAATAAAAGGCTATAAATAATTGAACAAGATGTTTCTCAATAACAATGATAAAAACACAAACACCCATAAGTACATACACAGATATGATAAGTATTCCTAGTAATGTTCTGTTTAATTCCAAAATATCACCAGACAAATTAATAGTGAATTATAGAAATTAAGAGTTAAATTACGACTGTGTTCTTATTCTACAGTACTTAATATTTAAGAGCAAACCACGAATGAACAATGTAACATAAAAAGTTTCACATAGTTCAATATACAATTAAATAAAGAGAGATAGATTGTGTTTTGTTTAAAGCAAGTAATTATATCAAAAATTGACGATGACAACGAATGAATTCAATGATTAAAAATAGTGCTGAAAATGATTTTTTTTTAGAAAAAACTGAGGAAAAGGTTACTCATGATAAGTAGTAATAGTTACTAACAAACACAATAAAATTAACACATAGACATCATACGAAATTAAAAAGAGAGAAGAAGATGGGAAACGAAAAAGTGATATTTTTTTGAAAATGAGATATTTCCTGGAATGAGGGATTATTATTACTAGTATTATTATTAATATACAAGAAAAATATAGATTATCAATGACTATGTTGTTGAACAATTTTGTTTATAGTTGTGCACACAAAAATATACAAACATTAGCAGAAAACGAATACAAGTGTTTACAGAAAAGAAAAGCGGAAAAGCATCTTCGCGTTTCCATAAAGAACAAACGGAAGACAAAATTCAAGTAAATTTATCTGTTTCATATAATATAATCACCGAAATTCATAATCTAAATATGTACGTAAGAATGTATTTAGAATCACCACAAAAAACTAAGAGTACTGAAGAAATAAAAGATTAGTTTAAACCTTATAACAGAAAAGACAACACTTCTTACCATAAATTGATATTTGAAAATACAGGAAGAAACAATATTGGCTGTTTTTGATGAATGCTAAGTGTTGAAAATAACTAATCTATGATCGAAATTAAAAACATGAAATTCATCCTCAATGATGAATAACACAGGAAGTTCTTGTTCTTAGGTAAGATTATTCGTTCATCTTGTTTTTATAATCGCTAAACAATCATGATCACTAAATATCGTTGTATCATTTCTTGCTAAGGTACACGAATTCATAAAAGGATTTATTAAAAATAACGAACGTGAATATTACTATAACACAAAAAAAGAATAGTTACTCAAGTTTCAACTAATACAGGACAGGTATGAGCACCGTATCAATTGTATTTGGTTGAGATAACTGGATAGTAATATTATCCATCATATAACTAAAGTCGAGTACATAAACTTATAATTAGTGAGTTTCATCATAATACTTTAGTAGAAAATTGAATGTTTAATTAGTGGAACAGCTTTAACTAATTAGAAAACAAATTGAATTATTATAGATGATTAAAAGTTCATATTATAAGGAGAATAAATGAAGTTTATAACAAAACTATAGTCAAATTGTAAATGTATACTATAATATCAGTCACTTATGGGAATGTTATATGCACAAACACAATTTATTAGGAAGAAATTAAATGTAGGATCATGTGTTGATCTTACATTTTGACTTTGGTATTAATTTGATGGGATATTCGTTCAATGTGACAATTTATTTTTAATTATTAATTACTAGATATAAATCCGTATAAAACTAAATAAATCCAAATGATGAATAAATGCCTACCATCCATACTAAAAATTCTTTCTTATAATATAACCTGTCCAAGTAGAAGAGGTTAGAAAAAAAAGTAACTGTTGTAACCTGGATGTCGAACCGTAATTAAGAATTAACATCATTATCCGTTATAGAACTCTAAAATATGGTTTATAGCAAAGTATACAACTAAACATATAATAACATCATTTTGACACAAATTACTACAATTATTAACTATACATGGTAGACATAATGAATCATCAAAATAAAAGAATGATAATGTAGGAATAGAAGAATAAGAAACCCATATTAACAAGAAATGGACAACAGAAAGGAGGTGAAACTCTACATAATCATACAATCATTTATAGTTTACTCATTTAATTCACTCTTAAATCAGATGATATTGGTATATCATATTAATTGATAGATTAATAATTTTATAGTAAGCAAACTAGTCAAGTTATAATCAATCATAAAAATCTAATAACCTCATTCAATGCTGGTGAAAATAACTGTTTTTAAACAAAGATTAAACATAACATAATCTATTCAGTAATTCTACATTACGAGATAGCGGAGTTTTGTGCTAATGATAATATTTCATCTTAATTGTCACATATATACAGTATTAATATGTCATAAATATAGCATCACTGAAGAGAATAACAGACATAAAATACAATAGATATAAAATTACTTTCAACCATTGGATTTGTTCCAAAGTAACAGACATAGCTGTACGATCTTTAGCTGATTTACAAGTTGTTATTCGTAAACCATGAAATGCTTGAGTAATTTCTGATGCTAACTGTAACACTTCAACTGGTTTTGAACGAACAGGTGTAGAAAGATGATGTGTAATATCTGTGAGTAAATCCCAGACATCTTGATTTGAAACAGTTCGACCTAATTTTCAAAAACAAAAAGTATGGAAAAAAATATTGAAATGTGAGGTTGTAGCAGTTAGCATTGTTATGCATTTACATGATTTGTTTAAACATGTGAGGAGGAAAATTGTTTCAATATTTCCATTTATTCTGTCACCCATATATTCGCCTTAGTCAGCTACTCACGTTTAACCTTGACCAGATTAATGCATGTATGTGTGTATCTACCCACTTCCTGTATTTTTCACATGACTTATAAAAATGGAATCACCTTGTTATTCTTTGAATCAGCATATAACCGAACTCTAATGTTCTATACACTTGCTGAATATTGAGTTTGTTTGTTGTTCAATACTGACATGTCTGAAATAAGCTTACTGTTGTAACGTGTGACTGCAGGTTTTGATAAGCAGCGTTTTATCGATCAATTCAGTGACACGGAAAAACACGTAGTGAACGACCTAGAGTCCCGATTGGTCCCGCTTCCCTATCTAGCCCAGCCAATTGAGTCTAGAACGCAAGTCACGGCCCCTGAGTTATGAATCGTTATATTTCAAACATACTCTATTTATATACTAACCAAACAGACCACATCGTACCATAAAAATAGAAAACAACATCTGTACAATATTTAACAAGTGAAATAAATAACGGCGAATAGGGAATGTTCATTTAACGTCCAAGGACATCATTAGACTTAACATGCTAATGATTGGCACATTATTCCTCAGCATCCATAACACCTACCGTAAATACAACACCTATTTGACTATTGATATGCTGCTGTTTTAAACGTTTTGAGTAGACAGGTTACATACAAAGTCAAGTAAAAATTATGCCTCATTCATATCAATATCATTCAATCATTTTGGAGTCAATCACGGGCACTATAGTGTTGAGCTCAGTTTGACAGCACTACATGATAACATCATTCAGTAAGTGTTGTTGCTTCAAGTAAACTCAGTGAACCAGCGACGAAACCAAAGTTTTCAGATAAAACGATAACATATTCTGAACTAGTTAGTTACAGTTTACATACACATAGTATCTTGAAGAGTATTTACAGAATCACTATGTTTACTGATGTTTTATAAAGTACATAGATAAATCTAATTATAGTTAAAAATGTATTACCACAAGGATAGTTTTCTTAACAATTCGTAAGTCATCGACCGAATAGTTTACTTACCTACCTAACAACGAGATTTAAACTTGACATAAATAGTTTCGAATCTAAAACTATCATTTACCAAAGTATGAGGCTAAAGTTATGATACTAATATTTAACTTAAAACACGGAAATATATGGAAACAAAATTAATTGAAAAAAAACTAAACAGATTAGGACAATTTTCCTTCTTTTCACATCATAGAACAAAATATTATCTAAACGTGTGAATAAATCAAATACTAAATGAACATACAATCTAAAGTTATTAATCCTGTGATTAGAGTAATCAAATTATTAAACTGAAAAGATTATTTTTCCAACTGAATTATCTACAATTGGTATATTGTGTTTTGATGTATTAAATAGATTTCATAGGATTTCAATTATACTTATAACATTTTAATGAAAAGTGAACAATTTCTTTGTCTACGACAAATATAATGATGGAAACACGCTTCATTAAATAAAAATAATAAATATTATTGATAAAGAATTGAAATCATGTGAAACCATTGTTAAGAGAGTAAGTTATTTCGTTTTGTAGAATAAAGAACAAAAAAAAAAGAATTGAGACACGAATAATTTGTTAGCAAGAGAGAGAAAAAACAAATTAGAATGTTTACAAGATAAATAAAGAACTACCCGACAACATCAACAACTTCTAATCAAAGTTTAGAGAAAAAAAATCATCTAAACATTGAACAAAAAAATTGGTAAAAAAATTTTTTTTGGGAAAATTTAGCCTTTCGTTTATTAGAATAAAAAGTATTGATGAACAATACAGGATTTGATTATAACGAACTATAAGAATAACTTCAATTCATATAACGCGGAATGCGTAAGAAAAAATAACATTTTGAAGGGAGTGTAAGTCCCAAACTGATTCAAAATAGAAAACCACTGATACACAGGGAGCATTGGGTAGTGATTTCATTTTAGTTTGGAACTCCTCAGTAGCGCACACATTCACAAACTATATATATATATATATATATATATATAGAGAGAGAGAGAGAGAGAGAGAGAGAGAGAGTTCTAGATAGAACGAAATGCGCATCCTGGATTCCACAGCTAATCATCATCCATCTCTGCTTACAATATTTGTGGCTTGATGATAATATCGAAAACATCCGCAGAGGATGTACATATACCATCAATAGGAAGCCCCAAACAACCGATGCATATCATTACTATTTTGTAATAAGTAAACCACAAACAAATGATCGTCATGATTTTACAAATTTTTCGGTTTCATATTTATTTATAATCAACTATGAACATTTCTTTTGACAAAATGAAAATTATTAGCTGCAATAACGTGTGACTTTAATATAATTCAATAATCGTATTGACAGTCAGTCAGTCAGTAACAACGTAGAACTTCGTACGTACGTACATCAGTTCGAGTTGCCACACCACATTAGCACAGAGATGCAGTAGTCGATTCAAATCCCATAGTGGTAGAGGTAATAAGAGTATAAGCAGTAATCGGGAAGATTAGAGTTTGGAGATGTTATTTAAAGAGTATAATCCAGTGAAATAAATTTGGAAAGAGGAAAAATGGGACATGAAGAATTTAGAAGATTAGAATCTGGGAGAACACAAAGAGTGGATGCACCTGTACCATTGCAAACGATCTTGAGCCATGTCATTCAGGGTCTCTAACCATCGGTTGCTATCATCTCGCGGTTCCCGACCAGGTAGTCTACACCTACCAACATGACTCGGTCCACTTGTCAGTGACTTCATGGACTTGTGCCATGTTTTGGTTTGGCCGCCCCTAGCTTTCTTCCAACCTACTCCTATACCACTGAACATAGCACGTCGAGGCAGTCGGTCGTTGGGCATACGTAACACGTGTCCCAGCCATCTCAACTGATGAAGTTTCGCTACTTCATCAATTGATTTGCCATCCTTACCTAGTACCCGTTTCCTAACAACTGTGTTACTTACTCGATGGTCCCATGATATACGAGCAATGTTTCGAAGATACCTATGATCGTATTGACAATTATTCGGTAAATGTATGCTACGCATGAGATTTAAAAATCAAATCTAAAGCCCATGGATTTTTACACTACTTCATATTAAATATTAAACATTAAAGAATATAAATAAAGCAAGAAGAACAACCCTTACAGAATAAAATGGTTTCATTATAATTCAACGCTTCTCATCAGCTACAAACGGCCTAAATTTACAAAGGAAATATTATGATAAAAATGTTATAAGCTCCCTTGAAGCTTAATTGTTTTCAGTTTATAACACTAGATGCTCCGTAAACCAATCAACCAAAAGTAGATCAATATCGTTTTGAGGTCACTTCCAAATGCATTTACGAATTTACATGTACTTATGAAAGTAAGTACATAGGAAGGACTGAAAGAAGGGCATCCTATAAGGTCTTCGGGACATATTCCCCGTAAGTTGTGCCTGAAAGAAAGTAAAGGTCTCGCAAGTACGGTTTTTAAAATTTTAATGGGCGGTGGACACAACATGGATTACTCAAAAGCGTTCAAAATAGTTATCAGGTAACGTACACTACTTTTACTCTGTTTTACAGAGGCCATTGCCACCAAGCTCATTCGATCTGACTTTTGCATGTAGAAACAAAGTGTGGTAAACCTACCATTGCCACAGTAAGATAGTTATATTATTTTAACGCTTGTCAGTTACATTATCTCTCTAATATGGTAAAAAAAATCCCACTGACATTCAATCAAGACGTTAACTTCAATTTTATGTTAGATAGATGCCTTGATTATCACTCATTTGTTAACGATTTGCTTTTATTCATTGTCTCATTGTTACTTAAAACTTTGCCGACTTCTCTGCACTCTATGATTTCATCTTCAACAATATAAATACTCATCAATTTTAGCTATTTTGTTAAATATGTTGTTTCTTCATGTTTCTTAAGTTCTTTCGAACTGAACTTCATGGATTATGGTATGTAATAACACTTATATAATAATATTTCTTTCGAAATTGTGAGCCATTGGAGCTAATGAGGAACTCTGAAATATAATGAATTCATTTTATTCTGCGAATATTTTTTCTTGCTTTGTTTAAATTTATTTAGCGATCAGGATGTATGAAATAAACGAATATATTTGTGAACAACTAAAAATGATAATACAACAGTGAATAGTCGACATTCAGAAAGAAATACTCTTTGGAACACACAACATACATATATATATTCTGTTTCTAATCAGTTAACAATTTATTTCCAAAACTAGAGCAATACATGGATGCAGTACACGTATTCATTGAAAACATTCCGTTTTAAATTTTAAGGGAAAAAGTGGTTATGGCGTCAGAGAGAAAACGAGTTAGGCTACAACTGAAAATATTCCCCTACAAAGCAAGATCAATAAAAGGTTGGCTGTCACAACAAAATACAAAAACCATATATTTATTTCTACTTATAACCAACTAGTGCGCCATAATAATTAATCTTTTCCATTTATTCTGAGATAAACATTGATAATATTTCTATGTTTTTTTATTCTCATTATTGTTATCAATAATACAAATTTCCATTTGGTATGTTTTATATTACCCACATATTATATTAAAAACCTACTTCATTATCAACACAAACGATTCCCCAAAATGATTATATAAACATGTATATAATTTTAAAAATTATTACGATTCTACTCTAATCTATCCATATGTACTTGAATCCTCCTACGCGTAATGATTTAATGGATGTAATCTGAAGATGAAGAACAAAAATTTACTTGTACTATTTAAACCTGACGACTAACGGAACGTCAGAAAATTTAGAAACTTAATTTTTCCACTCATTATGTATTACAAATACATTATTTTTATTAACTACTAGCAAGTAGTTCAAATTTTAATACAAATGTTTTGGGATTGATTTCAAGTTGCAGATGAAATCAAATATCTTTTAAAAATGAAGGATTTCTATTAGTTTATTCTCAATTTCTGTGCCATCGTATTTATATTTACCTATAGTTTACATTCAATATGAATAAATGTTACACGTTTTATTCATTCCAATCTGTATGGTTTTTAAATTATTAATCTAAGCACTGTGTTCAAAATTTCAACGGTATTTCTATCACTTTTATCTACATAATTTGATGAATAGAAAATTAAAAGAGGTCACATTTTAGTAAACCGGATATATATATATATATATCACACTTATAGCTTTAAAAATTAACTGGATTGAAAACCAAATTATTCGTTGAAGTTACAGTATAACTTCAATAATTTACAAATAATAAGCATGAAATATCTCATCGACTGTCATATCATGATAAAAAAATAATAGTCATAAAGGTAATAAATCATATAACATTACATAAATAACTGATGAATGTTTCTCTATCTATGGCACTTCCGCAACAAAAAATGACATTGAAAAGACCCCTATTAAATAACTGAAGATTATTCATATGGTTTTCTAAAAAAAATTGAGGCGAAAGGTCAGCTACTGCACAGTAATAGCTAACATGTTTTTAAACTACATATATTTTGATTACCTGTAAAATATGCTAATTAATGTTAAACTAATAAGTTATATAAAAGAAATTTTATATCTGACCTGGAGCGCCAAAATGTTTTGTATATCGATTGAAATAAGCGCGTAAAGATGTTAATCCATGATTGTTTACCGCGTTTTGCACAGCAGTTTTATCTAAACTTGAACAAAAAAAATATCGTAAAACAAATAAAGAATCTATGTACAGACCGATGTAAGTATTACATATATGGTGTTTAATACTTAAATTGCATATTTTCAGGACTGAATTGATTCCGTTCTACTGAGTTTCATGGCTTTTTGAACGGATGATTATACAGCACGAATCTTAATTATTTTATTTATTTCAACATATAAATATTGGTATAAAGGGGCACCGAATACATATGCAACACACAAGCCACTTGATTTGTGATTGGGCTGTGATACACCATGAATTTGTTATCATCAAAGAAAAATATGCAATCAGCAAACAAATAAGGACAATATAAAACGTTCATTCAAAAGACACAACATAACAAAACGGATGGTTTCTTTTCTACCTAGGAAACTATAAATAAGACAGTAAAATAATTACTAAGGACGGTAATAATAGTATACCAGTTGAACAAGTAGTGTCTGTAGAGAATCAGTAGTCTTGAAGAAAAACACTGAAATTGAGGTAGATGCATAGTAGGCTTAAGCCAGAATGCTACCAAAAACACGCTTACATACAGCTAGTAAATTCAAAATAAAATAACATAAATCTTGGACATCACTGTGACCTACCGTCAAATATCAATCCATATATTACACAATATTATAGAAAACAATACAATTTAAAAAAAGTATCAATCACCTGTGAGATCACATCTAAATTACTAAGTAAAATCTATTTTCCCAAGAATTAGTTTATTTATTAATGTGCATAGGATCCAATTAGAAGTTACATGCTATGCCAAAGTTATCAACAAAGTTTATTTTCAAAAGTTAGCTACAATAACACCATTAAGATCTACACCTCAGGCACATACTCCCCCAAATCATAATGACCAATACAATATAAATTAATTGTAATGAAAGATCAATCTATACTAGTCAATAATTTTAACTTTTAAAGTAATTGAGTAAACGTGTGCAGGTCTATGTAGTCGACTTTGAACCACAAGATTTGGTTGCATGAAAGCTACTGATACAAACCTGGGGTCGAAACTGTTGTAGACAGGTGTTTTGAGCCTGTAACCTATTGATTGAAAGACTAGTCCTTCAACCAAAGGGTCACCACTGTAGTTACATTATACATTTAGTAAAGTTATCAGATTCCCAAAAACACTCTGGAGATTACAGTAAATATTAAAACACCCACTGAACAATTACTATTGTATCTCCAACTTTACATCGTAGTTGAAAAAAAGATACAACCAAAACGTAGCATAAAAATATCACAAGTCGTCATAAACCTATCACAATTAAATTTGTGTAAGAATTAAATACGAATTTCGATAATGAAAACTCCGCCTGTAGCTCTTATAGGGTTGCTGCCGGTCCCAAGCCCGGGTAAAGGAGGAGGGTTGGGCATGGGGTTAGCGTCCCCATCCCGTAGAAAACTAACTCGCTAAAAAAACGCTTACCAGAAAAAATAATCCAAACCATTTTAACTCTGCCCTGGGAGTTAGAAGGTCTTCATTTAGAAGAATTATGACGCTTCATGGTGAAAGCCGAGTTCCTTCGGAAGCCACGAGGCCGATGCCCCTTCTAACAACCAGAGCAAAAATTTTTATAGGTACATGGAACGTTCGAACAATGTGGGAAACCGGGAAGACCAGTCAAATATCAATGGAAATGAGGAGATACAACTTAGCAGTACTGGGAATCAGCGAAACCCACTGGACCCAAACTGGACAGAAAAGGCTAGCTACGGGAGAGATGCTGCTATACTCCGGTCACGAAGAGGACAATGCTCCACACACTCAGGGAGTCGCTCTTATGCTGTCCAAAGTAGCACGAAATACACTTGTAGGATGGGAATCTCACGGATCCAGAATCATCAAAGCATCATTCAAAACAAAGAAGGAGGGGATCTTAATGAATATTATCCAATGTTATGCACCCACCAATGATAGCAACGACGAAATTAAAGATCAGTTCTACGAGCGGCTGCAGTCAATCATTGAGAAATGCCCAAGAAAGGACCTAACTATTCTGATGGGAGATCTAAATGCCAAAGTCGGAATAGACAACACTGGATATGAAGATATTATGGGACGACATGGACTGGGAGAAAGAAACGAAAATGGAGAAAGATTTGCAAATCTATGTGCATTCAACAAATTGGTCATAGGAGGCACAATATTTCCACACAAGCGTATACACAAGGCTACATGGATCTCACCGGACCACACTACAGAGAACCAAATAGATCATATTTGCATCAACAAAAAATTCCGAAGGACAATGGAAGATGTGAGAACCAGGAGAGGTGCTGACGTAGCTTCAGATCACCACCTAGTTGTAGCCAATTTGAAACTGAAGCTAAAAAAGAACTGGACAAGTGGACAAACAGCAATACAAAGGTTCAATACAGCCTTCCTTCGAGATACTGTCAAACTCAATGAATTCAAGATAGCTCTCAACAACAGGTTCCAAGCCTTACAAGATCTACTGAAAGAAGAAGAAACTACTATGGAGGACAACTGGAAAGGCATCAAGGAAGCATTAACTTCAACGTGTCAAGAGGTTCTCGGTCTAAAGAAATACCATCATAAGGAATGGATCTCTACAGAAACAGTGGACAAGATCAAAGAAAGGAAGAACAAGAAGGCACCAATAAACAACAGCCGAACACGAGCAGGAAAAGTCCAAGCGCAAGCTGAATACATAGAAGCAAACAAACAAGCGAAGAGGAGCATTAGAGCCGACAAGAAGAAATACGTGGAAGAACTAGCAACGACGGCAGAAAAAGCTGCTAGAGAAGGAAATATGAAACAGCTTTACGATACAACGAAGAAACTATCAGGGAAATACAGTAAACCAGAGAGGCCGGTCAAAGACAAAGAAGGCAAGCCAATCACCGAAATTCAACAACAGCGTAACAGATGGGTAGAATACTTCGAAGAGCTCCTGAATAGACCGGCTCCAATGAATCCACCGAACATCGAAGCAGCACACATAGATCTTCCTATAGATGTCAATCCACCAACTACGGAAGAAATTAGAATGGCCGTCAGACAAATCAAAACCGGGAAAGCAGCGGGACCCGACAACATACCAGCTGAAGCACTGAAATCAGACATCGAAACAACCACAAGCATGCTTTATCTTCTATTCAAAAAGATTTGGGAGGAGGAACAAGTGCCGATGGACTGGAAAGAAGGACACCTCATCAAGATTCCAAAGAAAGGAGATCTGAGCAAATGTGAAAACTACAGAGGCATAACACTACTGTCAATACCAGGGAAAGTCTTCAACAGATTGTTGCTGAACCGGATGAAGGATGCAGTAGACGCCCAACTTCGAGATCAACAAGCTGGATTCCGTAAGGATCGGTCGTGCACAGACCAAATTGCAACACTACGGATCATCGTCGAACAATCAGTTGAGTGGAACTCGTCACTATACATCAACTTCATTGATTATGAAAAGGCATTCGACAGTGTAGATAGGAGGACATTATGGAAACTTCTTCGACACTACGGAGTTCCTGAGAAGATTGTCAATATTATCCGGAACTCATACGACGGACTACAGTGCAAAGTAGTGCATGGAGGACAGCTGACAGATGCATTCCAAGTAAGGACCGGAGTCAGACAAGGCTGTTTACTCTCTCCCTTCCTCGTTCTTCTGGTGGTCGACTGGATTATGAAGACCTCAACATCTGAGGGAAAACACGGAATACAATGGACAGCTCAGAATCAATTAGACGATTTGGACTTCGCAGATGACCTAGCCCTCCTATCACGTACACACGAACAGATGCAGATGAAGACAGCCAGTGTAGCAGCAGTCTCTGCATCAGTGGGCCTCAGCATACACAAAGGGAAAACTAAGGTCCTCAAATTCAAAGCGGAGAACAGCAATCCAATCACACTTGATGGCGAAACTCTGGAAGATGTAGAGTCCTTCACATACCTGGGAAGCATCATCGATGAACAAGGAGGCTCAGATGCAGACGTAAAGGCGAGGATCGGCAAAGCAAGGGCCGCTTTCCTACAATTGAAGAACATATGGAACTCAAAACAACTTTCAACCAATATCAAAGTAAGAATCTTCAATACGAACGTCAAGACAGTTCTACTGTACGGAGCTGAAACTTGTAGAACTACTACAACCATCATCAAGAAGGTAAAAGTATTTATAAATAGTTGTCTACACAAGATACTCAACATCCATTGGCCGGATACCATCAGCAATAGCCTTCTGTGGGAGAGAACAAACCAGCTTCCAGCTGAAGAAGAAATTAGGAAAAGACGATGGAAATGGATAGGACATACATTACGCAAATCGTCAAACTGCATCACGAGGCAAGCCCTAACTTGGAATCCTGAAGGGAAGCGGAGAAGAGGAAGGCCAAAGAACACATTGCGTCGGATAATAGAAGCAGATATGAAAACGATGAATTACAACTGGACGGAGCTAGAAAGGATTGCCCAGGACAGGGTTGGATGGAGAATGCTGGTGAGCGGCCTATGCTCCTTTACGAGGAGTAACAGGCGTAAGTAAGTAAGTAAGTAAGTTCGATAATGAAACACTAAATTAATTTTATATTGAAATGTCTGAAAAGTTTTGGGATCTAAAATGCCGTATATCGAAAAATAAAACAAGCAGAAAATAAAGAAAAAATGAATTAGGCTACACCTACGTTTCAGCAACTGATTGTAGTTCATTGATTCCGACTACAAATGAGACAGGATGTAAACGAATTCGTACACGACCACGAGCTTGAATTTCCGAAGGTGCATGAACCCATGATTTCCAAGGAACAGTAAGCTGAAAAAAAATGAAAAGATGGTGAAAAAACGAACAGACAGTACGTAATTTTACAACCAAAATAACACTTGCAAAGCTTAATGGAATCACAAATTAATGATAGATGTGTATCATTTCATTTTGAAATATAATAGTAATGTCGAAAACTAATCACATACAAATATATGTATACGATTTTATCAATTAGACACTCAACTATTTTATGCCATCAACTAATCTGAGGTTGATCCTTCTTCAAAAATAAAATCAATATGAACTAGTAGTGAACCAAAATTATGTGATAAATAAAAATAATATATTTGTAATATCCCAATGAGTAGAAAATTGGATTTTCTGACGTTTCGTGACTTAGTGTAAGTCACTTCTTCAGAGAATAAATAACCAAATTAAAATTAATTCTCTGAAGAAGTGACTTACACTAAGTCACGAAACGTCAGAAAATCCAATTTTCTACTCATTGGGATATTACAAATATATTATTTTTATTTATAACAATCAACCCAATGCTCAATTTATTCGAAATTATCAAATCAAACCTTGGTAATGACACCTACAAAATTATGTGAGTTACTTAAATCACTGGCGAACTAGGTGGATACTTACAAAACTCTGAACTACCATGTGGCACAATTTATTACCTTATTTTACCAGAAAAAAGAGGGTGGAAACTAACTCAACAAAGAAAATTTACCTCATTCCTTAGGCGGTAAACGATCTATTACGGTATAAGACTACAAATAATAATAATCATTTTAACCTGTCAGTTATTAGTAAGTACAAGAATATTAAATAATATTGAAATTCAATAACGGATGGCAAAATAAACTTAGACGTTGACTAAAGTCAAAACGTTACATTTGTAATACATAGGATCATCAAAAATCAGTTAGAATACCTCGCATTCGTTCAATCTTGTGACTTTGAAATCCACATGAAATTCTTCAGTATCAGAGCGATTCGAGGTAGGAACGTTCGAGTCCGTATCCTCGGAATTTCTTCCACTCGTATCAATTACGGACTCAGAGAAGTTACCAGATGGACGAAGTGTAACACGATACGTCAACAAATAATCAATTGCCCATGCCCAATCCTCAATCATTCCTTGTTCGTCGCCATAACAACTTAGAAGGCCTTCAAACTGAGCTAGGACACCACATACAGCAGCTTGTTCCCAATCTTTGCGATCCCACCGGGGTATATGCACTGACAATGCCGTAAGAACTGCGGTTAATAGCTACATTTCTCAGGAAAATAAACGCGACTATGTGAGTATTATTAAATACGTTGAAAAAAATGGGAAAAAATTCATGGTTAACAACACACATATTCAGACGACATCTAACTCCGAAAGCATTTGCAATTAAACTAAATATCAGATGAAACAATCCCGCAAGCGAAATCCGATTGAGAAAAAGACAAATGGACATAAGAGTAAATAATAGCTTCCATCAAACACTGGGCGACTGGACATTAATAACTAGCTAGTATGACCATTTATAATCAGTCTAATGGATATATGTTCAATGTTTTGACATACATTCAGTGAAAATAAGGCAACAATAGATCAAAATAGTCTGTGAAATTCCGGTAAAAAAACATACATATAACAGATTAAAAGAAACCACTGCGTTTGATAAAATATTTCATTAATTAAATATCATTAGCGATGAAAAAGTGTTGATTGGAGAAATACGTTGGTTGGTATATATCTATACTTTTATCAGATACCTAATACGCTTACAGTAAAACTTTCAATATCCAAAGAGATGTTATTGATAAAGTGAAAAGACTATGCATTCGAAGTTGAAAGAGAAACTGTTGGTACATAGTAAAACGTGTTCTTAGATTGAAAATAAAATAAACTGAGTTCTAGTTCTCCCAGAGTAAGCTTTGATAATAAACTCAACAACAAATTTCTAACAAGAGATTATATTTATTATTTATTTATTTATTTTAACACATAGATATTGGTACAAGGAGGCACCAAATACATATGCGCCACACAAATCTCATTTGATTTGTGTGAGGGCTGTGATACTGCTCGGGTGCCCAAACAGAAGCACGTGGTTTTTTTACCCGGGGCCTTCGACCTAAGGGTATGATCCACAAGGCAGTGGACCATCGTAAAGAGATGCAGTCTAATGGTGGTCGGTGACCAACGATTGGTTCATACGCCATTTGTTCCCTCAGAATACTGGAGCCCATGTGCACCCTCGGTTTGGAATCAGGGTTTTCCAACTCCCCTAGGTGTACTCTCCAAGTCCACCAACCCGGTTAAAGCGCCGGACATTCGCTTTTCGTCCTCTCAATTTCGTAAACAATACCCCCGCCACGAGAAGGCAGTGAGTAGGACTTCCCTGGCTTAGGCTATACACGCGTAGCCATGTGAGAGCATTTCGAGAGGGAGAGCGAACTCTCGCGCCTCTCGGTCGTACCAGGACATTTGGGATTACTTCTAAACAGTAAAACTTATTTATTTTATACTATCCAATGCTCTATCTATATTTATCCAGATAAAGTAGCTAGTGAATTATTAGGAGAAATCAGCTGACCAACTTGAGTATAAATTCAATCTTTTAGGATTTAAGCAGTATAGAAAGAATGTTTTCAACATTAAACTGATTCACCCCTAGAAATAAACATACTTTAGTACATAATAAATCCTACCATAGAATAACTAAATTGTATCTCTCAAGTTATAGCTTTCATGAAAAATAATAGAGGACAGAACTGAGTTAATTACTAAAGTACACAAATCAAATAATGTTACTGGATAATCTACCTGACAAACACATGCATGATGTCGATAATTGAACGAATCTTGAATAATTGAAACAGCAGTAAGTACATTATCATTTATTGGTAACATATTAGGATAAGCGGAACGTTCTGCTTCAGCAATTAAATCAGAATAATTACCACTACCTTCTTTACTAACAGAAAGAGTTTGTTGATTTGATAAATCTGCAAGACCTGACAAGACATGATCCCATAGCACTGATGCTGCACTTTCCCATATACGTTCCAAAGTAACAGATAATTTTTGACCAGCTTTATCTAAAGAATCTATTAAATTTTCACGAGACTCATTTTTCTTTTTATTTATAATTATTACATGATCATTGGGTTGTGATGGTCTACATTTGAATAAAATAAAAAACAATGATAAAATGTTCCTTTTTATGAAGAAAAGAATGTCGAATCAGGATAGAAACTAATATAATCAAGAATTTATAATTCAATGTTACTAAAACTCATTGGAAACACTGTCGTTCAAGTTATTTATAGTGTTAAAAAGGATAAGTCAAGATTAATCAAAACGAATTAATATATTAATTGGCGATAAATTGTTGACAGTGAAAATTGTCATGCATTTTCAAACGAAGATGAAAGATAGAGAGATTAATCAATCTAACGAGCTTTCAGTTAGACTGAAATCAGATTGAGTGTTTACCTGAAATATCACTAACATAACATTACTAAGAATGATATTTAACTACAAAAGCTGAATAGTTGATTTTGAATCAATAAACTTTTTATAGAGTTGCGAACATTGAACATGAAAAAGACACGGATTATGTGAAAATACAAATGTGTTTGTTACAAGTTGGAGCTAGAATATAACATTTGCATCTAGTACGTCAAAGGTGGTGAAACTCTAAAGCAAAAATCAACGTTCAAGAAACTCAGTAGCATTTACACAAGGACAAATGCAACGCGCGCTGTATTCAAAATAGCTCCTTTAATCCAAAACAGCTATATATCTTTCCTGGAAATAACTTTTAGTCAACTGAGAAATGACATCATTAATGCTGAATATAGTTAACGTACTGATGGCCAGATTACAAGCACTATAATGCGCAAATTCATCAGTGCTGAAAATCTATCAGTCAAGGAATTTAGTATGATTTTTATTTTCAATGTAATGACTTTCATCGATTGATGGCTAAATAAACCTTATGAGAAGAACAAGTAAATCAAGGGATGCCGACGTAATCTTGCTTCGTACTTCTGATAGAATTTTTTTTCTACAAAAATCCTGTTATAGTAGCTACCTGGAGAGCAGCAACAAGAAGCATCAAACTCTACGTAAAAAATTGCCCTTTCTAACTGTACGACATCTGTGTGATATACGTGCAATATATATAACCAACAGTTCATCTTTGTAATGAGGCATCCATATGACGTGCCACCTTTCACGTAGTACATATTAGTTTTAATCCCAATAATCGTGTTTTTATGCACCAATAGTTTGTGTTATCCCGTTTCTACAACAAAAATTTCGTTACGACGTGTTGATCAAACTGGGAAATTGTTTACTGTAGTGGATATCATAACATTTGTAAGTATTTGAACTTGCCTATAACTTATGGTTATTGTAAAGAAAATATTATTATTATTATTACAATGATTGACTTTACAATACACTGAATTCTTATATTAAACCTTTTACTAAATAATAAACAATTACAATTATTGTAATCAACAATTAATAAAATAGAACATTGAAAATGATTATTTGTGAAGTGGAAATAAAAACTAAAAGAAATTGTTAATATAACAATAAATTAAATCTCACTGAGAATTTGTTGATTTCATTATTTCCACTGATGATAATTGTGTAAGTAAAGTGATAATCACTTCGAAATCACATGAAACAACTGGTAAAACATTTAAGTTAGATAATAATTTATCTGAAAATATCCACTGTATAGAAGATACCTATAAAGCGAAATAGAGGAATTAATTTATTTAAATAAACTGAAACTAAAATCACTTGTTTAATGATAATTAATTCTATTAAAGTTTATAATCGCCTCAAAGCATTTATAACAGCATATTCATTTATTTAAACACCAAATATAAATACGCCACATAAATCATTGGATATGCATGAGGGATGGAATACTGTACGGGCACCCAAACCGAAGCAGGTGGTTTTATTAGGAGGCCATTAACCGAGCCTATGACCTAGAGGTCTAATCCACAAGGCAGTGGAGCGACGTTAGAAAATGCAGTTCAATAGTAGCCGGTGACCAACAATAGGTTCATACGCCTTTTGTTGCATCAAAAACCTAGAGCCTATGTGCACCATTGGTTTGGAACTAGGGTTTTCAAACTCCCCTAGGTGAATCCTCCATATCCACCAACCCGATTAAAGCGCCAAACATACGCTTTTTGTCCTCTAAATTTCGTAAACACCCCTGCTGCGAGGTGGTGATCATCACATGATCACAATAAATAACATTTGCGTGTATCACATTGGTGCAAAATTGAGCATATTGACCGAATATTTTTTAGAAATTATTATTTTACATAATCATACCGATATATTTTTTAGCTGAAAAATGCACAACATGACTACGTGTATTGAACTTCTTTACACATATTAAAATAAAGCCTCTAGGAAATGAAAGAGCATTCAGCGAAGAATAATTTTTATTCGACGCAATCATTTACTCAAGCTGTATATTCATATTTATAGTTGTTTGATAAATATATGTCTGTAAAAAGATAGAAAAGATTACATCATAAAGTGATTCGAGATTTTAAATATTAAGTGAAGTTGTGTAAAAATCAGGGGGTCAGATAAGAATATAATGATGAAAAGAATTTACGGGTCAAAACTATGAAAGATAATTGTCCGCTTGACATACATGAAGAAAAACGGAAACCATAAAGGTCATAATAGTAACTGAATAATAATCATGGAAAATTGTTAAAGGATAATAATAAGTGATTACGGTTGAAATTACAAGATAGTAATTTAAAAAATAAACGAAGCATACTACAGAAGGGAATTAGCGCCAAGAAAGGATGAGCGGTTGGACGTATCGTTTTTGCGCGCAGAGTCCAGGCTTGGAGTGGGGGATCACCAATGCCTCAGTAGTGCATACGTTTTTGATCCGACCTTACTTCGACCCAGTTCCTTCGATTATGTGGATTATTTTAAAGGAAGACTCCTTTGGAGCGACGTGTCCAGAGTTGATTAGGTGCTCCTGTATTGAACTGGTGACTGTTTCGCATTCTCCTTTGAAAAGCCACGCCGGGTATTGTTCTGAAATCAGTTTGGGAAGTGACCAATTTGATCTGTCCAACAAGAGTAAGTACATTTATAAACGCATATTGATGTGACCTAAGACAGGATTTTATCCGTGGATGGTAGGCCGGTCTGAATGTACGAATGTACAGCTTAAGTAAATGATTTCGTCGAAAACATTTTATTCGCTGAGTTTTCCTTATTTCTATTCAGTGGCACAATGGGTTATTTTGAGAAAAGGTTTACTTCATTGAATGTACAGACAAACATATTCAAAAATATTTTTTTGAATGAACATTATTAATAACGTACAGTTTTTTGCAAACGTTGAGCTAATGGTTCAGCCTGTCCAGGTGCGTTTAATCTTTGAATAAGACCAGCTAAATCAGATCTTAATAAAGCAATAGAATGTGTTCCACGATATAATAAATCCATAGCTTTACCAATTGGTTTTGTATTTAAAAGACATGTAGCAGAAGCTACGGGTGATTCCGATGATAGATTTAAATAAGATAATTCTGAAGGTGGATATGTACGTGTCGGTGTAATCATAGTATCGAATGCCATTCGAAATAAACCACCAGATTTATAACGTCGAGAAGCCAATGAAAATGCACCAACAGATATTATATTATGCGAGGAAACTGAATTTTTTAAAGAAAAGAAAGAAACAGACAAATGAAGACGAAATCAGAATGGAAAATTTCGAATAAATTGGACATTTGGAAAAACCAAGAAATCTTTATGTTTATAAAATCTGACATATAAGTAGGCTGATTTGTCGTTCGACTATAAAAACAACATACAAAATAAGTTGTGGCATAACATGACAACGAAAGACGGAAAAATTGATAAAACGAGGACAGAAATGGGGTAATAACTAACTGAAATGAAAATCTAAACATGAGAAATATCATATACAGGGAACGAATGAAATCAGAAAAAGGAAAATCACAGAATGTGTCAACTCTATATTCACAGTAAAGTAAAAAAACGAGTGTAATTGACACTATTTTAGTCATATCACTGAAACAGTGATTTATACTCTAGAGCCTAATTCGTAAGGCGCATATATATCTGGTGCCCCCTTGTACCAATATTTATGTATTCAAATAAATAAATTCTAAAATAATATATTAACGTTAAAATTTATGAGCAATCGTCAGTAAAACATTCACTTTCGTACACTAAAAGTTATTGAGGGAATAAGTCTATAATCTGACTGATTAATTAACGTTGCCAACTAATAAATAGCAAACAACACATTTATACTCTTAGTGAATTTTTCGTTCAAAACAGACACATTCTAGGTCTAATTCCACAGTGTATCTCTGTTATAATTTCTCTTATTGCTTAGTAGTTTTGGATACTTCATTCGACAAGTCCCCAAATCTGAACACAGTTGAACAGGAACGAAATTATATTCCAAATAGCAAGGGTAGATGGAACTAGGAATCACAATAAGAGAAATGTTAGTATATTTACAGTTTTTGCGTAAGAAGATTCTAAAATCTTCTCCAAGTGTCCACTAGTGCTGATTGGGTAAGAAATAACCAATCAGCGTGCTACACCTTAAACCTGTATGGAAATACTTTAATTAAATCTATATTGATGTGTTCACTAACTCATTACTTTGTTTTACTTCTGAGATAATGTACAACTGCGTGGGTTTCTAAACTTAAAAAATAAACACTAGTTCCAATAAGAATAATTTAGTTCATAATAAATAATATTAATTGCTCTATAGATAAAGATCACGTTATAAATAACACAACTACATAATAAACAATAATAATTCTTTTTTTCACACAATTACCTAAAATATTTTCTACCTTCAGGAGAATAGCACACTAATTAACTATGGTAAGATACAGTCAATGTATTAATTTACAGTTCAATGTATAACATCGAAAATTTCCAACTATTGATCAACCTCATAGATCTAATCTACAATTATCCATATGACTTAGGCTAACATTCAATAATTAAGAGAAACTTATTTTATTTCGGTAAACATCTCAAACAACATATATCAGTATTACTGGAATTCAACGAGTTATCTTCTCTTTCCACAATTAAGCAAACGTCCTAAGATATTTTTTTCTTTAAAAACTAATTACACAAAAATCAAGGTCTATTACATTTATCATAACTGACCACTGAAATTGAGGAAACACCCAGATTGAATTTTAAGAAGAAAATATCATTACTACCACTTAATGTTGTGTAATAATCTACAATGATGTTTACATCCCAACAAAATAGTAACTCAGAAATTATAACAAAATAAATCTACATCTACTGATCAAGTATAAATGACATACTGAATTTATGATAATGAATACAGTACTTACTTGTTTATTTGTGAATAATCAACTTAATGACTCATTTCTATTATTATTTATAATATGAATTAATTCATTAACAAATGTAGATCCATTGCATCAAGAAATATATTTTAAACCCTAACTATTCTAAGAAACCTAATGATAATGTTCATGAGTTCAGGTGCTGAAAACAAATTGAGTCCATCATCTAATGATTGACAGTTAAATATTAAAATCCTGCTGAATTATATCATTATGCCTAGCATAATAAACAACTATTATTAAGCTAAAAATAAGAAAAATGAATAAACAAAATAGTTTCAACTTTAAATATCATATAGTCTTACTCATTATACAGTTAGTCAGTATTCCTGATCCTAATAAATATAAACAGATTCAAAATATATATATATATATATATATATATATATATATATATATATATATATATAAAACCCGGGGACTAATGTGTATTAATTGAAGTCATCACTCCTGAAAATTACCCAAGCACTTTCTGGAAAAGGTGAATACTCAATAGTTTGAGCAGCTTCAGAATTTTCTAATATTGATATGCTAATAAAGTACCTATCATACAATCAGACTAGTTAGTTCCGGTTTTACTTCCGAATAAATATCAAAGAAGTGAAATACATCCATGATAACTTATAATTCCATTACAGATTTTATGCTAGAAAAGTGGCTGATCTGAGTGCTTCATCCATTTCTTATATATAACATAATTTTACTTTCAGACCAGAAGTCACCTGAATTATATGATGCAGATCTACACAGTCGATCGAAGAACTGAAGTTAAACAAAATCAGAGATTTCTATCACTAGTTTTTCCGTTGAAGATTTATTGTTCTGTCTACAATACTCACTTGCCCAATATATGTTTATGTACTCAAATTTCAGTGGTATCTTAATTGCGTGAGGGGTAGTGGTACTAAGGGAACGCCCAAACCGAATTAGTTGGAGTGGGGTTCGAGCCTATGAAATAACAGTTGAATGTATTCTCTTTAAGACCCCCATCCTATCCACTCAACATTATTGAATAATGTAGTAACATTCTGTAGGGATCCAAAGTATTGCTTAAAACCTATGGAATCAGTGTTTAGGCTAAATTCAATATGTTAATAACATCTGTGACACAAATCTAAACTGACTAGAATTTTTTCTCTGCCTTTTAAATCAGGTAGGAAGGTCAAAATCAAATTTAACAGTGCTAAATTATCGAGACCTTCAGGATGAAACTGAATTCCACTTTGTTTCAATCAACGTATGATTTCTGTTCAGCTACCAATAAATGAAGAATTTGCCTTTCAATAGCAGACGTGATTATCAATTATGTCTATTACGATAATAGCTAATTTCCAAGAACAGATGAAAACAAAACTAATCGGTACAAAGAATCACATCACAGTAGAAATACCAGTTTTAATATTATTTTTCTCATGTGATACATTATAAACTAAAAAATAACAGTAACATACTCTTCAGCCTTACCTAGTTGGCCGTCTACATCCGTTAAAGCTATCTGATTCACGTGAAGATTGGTCGGAACAAAATCATAGCGAGGATTAGCACGTTCATTAGATGATTTGAATAGAGGACCTACAGCATCAGTAAAGTTTTTTTGCAAATCAAACAATTTTTTTTGAAAACATAATTTATAAAAAGTAAATCTATACGAATATGTTGTAGTGCTTGAATTGAAATAACTTTTTAACAATAATTATATACTGGTTTACGTTATACTAGTTGATTTCAACTCAGCTGTCAAAACTGATCTAAGATAAAACAAATGGAAAGTTGAATGTGAAATATGTACGGTATTGTTAATAAAAAGAGGATTATTGAAAAGTGGAATATGTTTAGTGAGTACCAGAAAATTCAGACTCAACATTTTTTAGCAGTTATGATTTACACCTAATGGTGCTCAAACAATCAAGGCATAAGTACAAACAGACACTAGAGAAAAAGAATATCTCAACCAATCATCCAGCCATACACAACGTAGAACCTGCCACATGTGCACATCGGAACAAGATGAAATTATCAAGAAAAATCCTTGAGTAGTGAATACAGCAAAAGTATTAGAGGTAGTAGAAAGTACTAGGCATCGGATCTAAGATTCGAGAAAATATGGAATAGTAGTTACGGCAATCACACGGACGCCGCATCCACCTACATGGTTCAATAAACAACAAGTGTCTTTGTGGGCTGATGTGATGTGGTAGAAGTACTAATTACTTAATAGTGATTTTGGATGACATGGTACTGATAACTTGGTTGATAAGTTTATGACCTATCATTAACTGAGATATTTACGACACATGTTACGCAAGCTCGGTCAAAGGTTACCTCAGGGCTTCTGGTTGGTTAAAACAAGAATACAGACCAAACAAAAGCACCGATCCACAAAATTGCTGAATCTTATATGAATCAGAGGTGGATAAGCGCTAGTCGGGATTTGTGATCTGCCGTAGCATACATGGTGAGGCCATAAAAAGCAGCTCGGAGACGACTTTACAGATTCCTTTTTCTTCTAGGTCATGAATATAGTACTATTTCGTACATTTCCACTTAAATTCACTTTTTTTCGAATTTTTTTAAGATTTAGTTCCCTACTATTATCAACAGTTCGTTTTCCAGGTTAGATCTATTCAGAAATCAAAATTTTATTGTTCGAATTCGCTTGTATGCAAATAATAAGCCAGTAGGGATAATTGAGACACAATTACTACTAATGTGATGAGTAAGAATGATTAATAATTTGATTATTCGTTTAATAGAAATATACACCAATTTCTAGAAGATAATTTATTTGAAAAAGTGGTAATCCTTAACAACGATGCACTCAAATAGTAGAAAGAAAATCATATTAATCTTAAAATTACATACAACTGCAGAAATCCGATTTATCTATATCTAGCTAATAAAAAATAACAAACACAATCCTGAAGCCTTTTTGTTCAATAGACTGTGTTGCGCAGTCTTTACACCATCACATGTGGATACGAACTCCCACTGTGTAAAACATCATTGGAAAACCTAGATAATTAGTTGCATTATGGTTGTTTAACTAGCGAAAATTTAGCTAAGTCACCGAGGATATGTATACGAAAAAATTTGTATATTAAAACATACAATATATCCAGATACACTCATTGTATCCTACTGGTATATTGAATATTTTATTACGCTATGCTAGTCAATAACCTGCATACTTATATTGTTTTTTAGTCTATATTTCGATACCTTTCTTCTATTGGGAAAAATAGCGCCAGACTACACCAATGTATGTTTTCACTGAATTTCGTATGGCTCAGTCAATCAGTTAGTGGAGTGAAGTTTAAATCCGTTGTTAACAATAAAGACAAAGCAATAACCTGAGATGCGTGTTTCGTGTCCAAAACATTTGATTTTTAACCTTTGGACGGTGAATTCGAACCTAACTTCACTAAATATAGTTTAATCAGCTGGATATCACTACTAGCTCTTACACACACAACACATCTAGACATAAATAAAGTGGACGCTTAGGAAATAAAGTATGGTCGACTTATTCAGATATATTCACTCTAAAATGAATTAGTCAAAGGAAATCAAAGGAAAATTAATCTGTTAGCAATTTTCATGACACCGCCAACTAAAAGTATGCTACCTCCAGCAAAAACTGATAGTATTTTCACTGTGTTTTGTTGCTAAAAAATAACAGACTGAATTAAACAACAACAAGGTAAAACCCAGCAAAACAATATACACTCTTCTGTCAATACAAAACAGTTAATCAAAATACATGAATGCCTATTTAAAACCAGGAGTAAATGTGAATACATATAGTCGTTCCAATGTATATATATATATATATATATTTAGCACACACCAGTGTAATCAACTAAATTTCTTAAATTAGCTTCATACTGTTCCAATGTTTGTTTCATGCTAATCATTCGTTCTTTTCGCAGGCTTTCAATAACAGGTTTCGACTGGCAAAAAAAATAACAGTGAAAAAAAGTGAAGGTAACTTTTTGACAAAGAGAAGAAATACAGAAATAAACTTTTATCATAAAAGACAATTAGTATCTTTCCTACGATCCAGTATTTAAGGTTGCTTTTTGGTCGGCTTTCATTTTTGTTGCCCAGAACAATGAAAGCTTTACAATGAAACAACATCCAATTTACAGAAATACAGCATCACTAGAAGTATCGACCAGAAATAAAATTCGTAACAACAAGGATTGAATTACGACAAAACTTATACGAAAAAACAGCTGTAAGTTGGAAAATACTGGAATTTCTGAATAATTTTTGCAGAGAAAGCACTTCGTAGCCTAGATATCCTTGGGTCTCATGTTATGACAAAGTTGTTGCCCAGAAAGCAGGATATAAAACACGTCTTGCTTTGATCATTTATTTATCTCTAATAAGTTCTTTCCTGACTCGATGTGACTTATGATCCGAACAGATATTGTAAAAGTTGGAAATGATTTTCCGAATTATTAATTATAATTTTTCTATGTAAGTTACTAAATTACTATGCATATATATTCCTTTTATCATAAGCATCCGGCTAACCTACAAAGTACTGTTGTACAACCTAATATTCCTTATTTTTTGCCAGTCTATTATTTGCAATCTCTCCTGCCCATAACCACTTTATGCTTCTTTATGTATAACCGTTGTTTTTCTATGATTCAGTCCGGTATGTTTGTATGTAAAATACGTGTTTTTAAAATATAAATCTAGTATAGAACAGGTTGACTGTTGACTTCTGGACCCAAAGACAGGCCATGATAAAAAATTGCGGATAGTAAGCCGGTAGGAGCCTAGCTGTTGACTCAGATTATTAGTGCTGGTCGGACGAGTAATTGGCCACGACAGAGACACCAAGCCATTGAGTAATGGTAGACGCGAAATCGATCAAATTAAAATCGAGAATCTGATTGATGATTTAGCACATTATTTTGGTTAGTCGTCTATAAGACACAACAATTTACATAATATCTGACCTTATAATAATGATTACATGACTTACAAATCCACATTACGGAAAATACATACGAAGTTCAAAGTAGATTGATTTATATCAAAATGTGATATAACCGTGATATAAACGAATACAAAAATGGTAAAATACTGCTAGATTTATAAACAAAAAAAATACATGATATTTGTCTTCCACGAACTATATTCTGTCATCAAAGTTTACCATACATCTTGAATGTGAGTGTTTTCCTTGCTTTACCAAAATTAAAGAATGATATATAGAAACTAATGACGCACACATTTTAAACCCCAAATTTAAAACGAAACTTACAGATCCAGTTCGAGATAAAGAGTCATATATCAAATATTCGGACTGAATTAAAGTTTTTCTATAAAAAATATAAAAAAGAATATTAATGTAAATATATTCTAAATACCTTTGATTTCTACACTAAATTCTAGAAAAGCACAGACATTCATATTGAAATTATCTTTGTGCATAACCTATGCTATAACACTTGTACAGAATGGTAGGTTACCAAAGTCTTATCTAAATCAGAGCAAACTCGCGAATAGAAATTGCAATATATGACAAGATTACTTCCAAACATTTGTGCACAACATGATAATGTAACACGGGCTCACATTATGAAAGAATGTTAGCTGACATTGCGTTTTGAATCGATATCTTCATCTTGATTGGCTCGGTTTTATAATATAGTTACAACATAATCATCACAATACTATTCACTACTAGATTACAGTTATGCACATGTACGTATTCTGCCTATAGGAAAATAGTTGATTAATACTTTAGTTCTACAAAGCTTATAACCAATCTTAGCTTGCTAATAACGTTGAAAATGTCGCTCAACTATCCAGTAATAGCTATCAATTGATTTTATCTAAATGATATATCGAAAATTATATAGATAGTTTTGATCAAGTCAAAGATCTCGGCTTCCTACAATACCTAGAATAAACGGACCTTCTTCATAAAAGAACTAATTGCAAACTGTGAAGACATTAAATTATTTCATTTCATCAAATTTTAATTTTCTGCGTAAAAATACAAGTGGATAAAAGAGTAGTTTTAAACTTAGAAATTTAAGTTGCCTTTTGGGGAGAATCCACTTTATTAATAGCTATATATAGAAAGCGTATTACATCATTATTTATGTATATACATTTTTAACTTCAGTACCATGCCTTATCCCTCCGAAATAGACTGAAGTTAAATTATCAAAGCTATAGATTATAATTAACGACATAAGTGATAAACATTTGTAGTAACCTGTCTTGGTCATAAATATTAGGTTATATTTCCAAAAAAACAATACTATAAGTCTTGATTCCATAACTCTTAATGGAAACAATGATGAAATCTCTCTGATCATTAATAGTAGCATATTTTCAGAATGACCATCTATAACTATTTATGCATTGTCTAATCAATAAAAGTAAATCATTAAGAAAAAGGGTCAAATAACTGACCTCTTCATTACATATTTTGACCATAACAAATTGACAGTGTTGAGTGAAACAAAAGCAACAAACGATACTAGTAATTTAAACTTACAGATATTCTATCGGAAAAGCATAGCATAGCTTTGATTCGCCCATAAATTCAATAATATGCATTGTCTCACCCATTGAATCTTGGAATTTATATCGTTTAGACAATAGATTATCACATACTGAACGTAATGACAACATATTAGCATCAACCTAGAAAAATAATCAAACATACGATTAATTCACAATACAAAATTCAGAATATTCATGACAGTAATATAATAGAGTGACCATGTACATATCGGTTTAATAAACTGTAAAAAAATAAGTTCTGTCAAGCAAACGACACCATCAACACAAGATCAAAGTAATTAATTAAAGTTATGAAACAATCGGAAAATTTTTAATTGAGATCCATGAAATACGTGATGGTATATTGCATATGGTATGAAATCGACAGATAATATATATATACTAGACATTCCAACACCACAAACCAATTTGTTTCTTATTTGCTTATATTAATAGATGGATTGGCATTGAAATATGTTACAAACAACGATAATAAACCAATCACCGAAAATAGAGGCTCAGTCAATAAAACACTTGTATTTTTTAACCATTAAGTTGCATATTTAAACCATGCTGTATATGGGCACCTAAGTAGTGCTACCTATTCATACACAGAAAAAGATGAACATCAACCATAGTATAAGATTATAATTATTATTCTTTAATTTGACTAGACAGCAATTGATTTTAATTAACAAAATAATTTTTTGTAGAGATACATGAAAGGAAACAATATAGTGTAAACACTAAATGAAATACAAAACATATAATTTACAATGAATAGTTGATTATCAATGTTAATAATAAAAAAATAATGTCTATATAATCACATCAGTTAAGAATCACTAAGGTATAATTTTTGTTAGTTTAACACTTCAAATTTTAATAGATTGACAAATACAACAGTTGAAATCATGAGTCAATTGAAGCTAGACTACCATGGAAAACCTGGAAACACTAGACGGTCGTTTCGTCCTAGTATGGGACTCAGTAGAGTGCATCCGAAATCCCAGCCCCCGCGAGATTCAAACCCACAACCTATCAGTCTCGCGCGCGAGCGCTCACTCACTGAAGACAATGGCGTACGGTGACGTAATGTCGTGGATTGGTTGAGGTTAGACATTAACACCGTTGGATGCCAGTTCAGTGGTCTAACGGTTAAGCGCTCGCACGCGAGACTTATGGGTCCTGGGTCCGAATCTCGCGGTGGGTGGGATCGTGGATGTGCACTGCTGAGGAGTCCCATACTAGGACGAGACGGCCGTCCAGTGCTTCCAGGTTTTCCATGGTGGTCTAGCTTCAATTGACTCATGATTTCAGCTATTGTAATTCCTTGAGGTTTAGATGGTGGTTGGAGGTAGTCAACAGGAAACCCTGGACTCAGGTTTCGTGCCACTTGGCACTCGTCAGTAAGGTGTACCTGTAATCTTGAGGGAACTGGTGCTCCCTGGCGGATTCGATCTCGTGTCACCCAGCTTCACAGTCAGAGACGTTACCACTGAGCTATCCGAGCCGCGACTGACCTCCATCTAAATCTCAATATATAGTGCCCGCAGTGTCGAGTCACCTAGACTGGTGGCCACATTGAAACATGGTCGATAGCATTCGATCTGCACTAATAAGGACTAGACAAGCATGACATTGATCACCACCCAGTGATCAATCAATTGTGATTATTGTAATTCCTAAAATCTCCACAAAACCCCTTCAGATTGACAAATAATTAATTCGACTAAGACATTCTATGGCTTAGGATTATGCGACAATTTCTTATTCTTTCTATACGATGTAAAATTGTTTCTCTTCCCTTTGTTATCTTTTTTTACTTGAACTTTCATTTAATTGACCTTTATTAGTTTTCATATAAAATGTCCTGACAAATATATGCATAACCAGATTGTTCGAAGTATATAGCGCAAATACATCACATTTTTAGATCAACCCCGTCTTCTCATTGTTCTATCGAAATTTATAAAAGAAACCAATTGCTTTAAGACTTAAAAGTTGCGTAGAACATGTGATTGATAAATCGATTTATAAAATATTAACTAAATATTATTATAAATAATAAACATGAGAATTCCATATTACTATCAAGTGCTAACAACTGATAGATTCAGAAATTTTGACGTCTACACTAGATATACTGATAGTAAATTTGCGTGATGATTGTACTTTTATATTGAAAAAAGGACGATCTGATTAAAATCTTATCTACCAAGACGTATCTATTTTGCTTGAGGAAATAACAATAGATACTTAAAAGTATCGAAATACTATCAAATTATCTTGGAAACTTACTGAACGCGGAAAAAGCATTTCATTATGTTAACAAGTAGTAGCACATATAGAATAAATGAATTGAAAAAGAGAACATTTGTGCAAATAAAATAAAGAAACCACCTAAAACAATTTCACTTATTGTTTTACTTGTATCTTCCCATTGTTATTTAGGACTGCAATCGATCAGTCTTGTGTTGGCATATATGCATCCTGTGCGGATCGCCTCGATATAGCCTTAAGTCACAAGTTTTTTAAACAAAGATGGATAATGGCTAGCAATGAAAACAACAGTAAAACAACACCAAGTGAATTTAAACTCCACCTCATTGCACAAGCAAGTGGCTAACAGGAATCAGTAGCTAAGTGGATAATGCGATAGTGTTTCAAGCGAACGGCACTGGGTTCGAGTCCCGGAGTGAACACCAACTCTGGGATGCAGGTACATCCAGCTGACGAGTCCCAAATAGGACGAAACACGCGTCCTGGATTCCACTGCTAGCCGCTATCCATCTTTGCTTAAAAACCACCTAGAACAAGTTTAAAAACATTCAGTGAATTAATTTTTAATTTTCCAACACAACATTCAAAATATCCTTTATTGTAACATTGGGATAGAGACTATATAATCACAACTCATTATTCAACACAATATGTTTAGTATATAAATCAGTAAATAAATACACTCGATTGTAACTCATTCGAGTGTATGCCCGTCTTAACAGTTCATACACAAAAAAAATCAAAAATCACATTATTATTTTCAGAGTACTTCAGTAGACAACAGAATAAAAAAACAGTGCATGAAAAGAGATAATATTATGCATTACCTTAGCTGCCGTGGGATCTAATGGCTTTTGTTTCCTTGATTGCACAACTATTGATGGAAAAGTCGTCTCTAAACCCTCATACTTCACAGGTATTGGAGAACAATCATCACGTAATGGGAACAGAAGAGATGAACTATCCAATAATACTTTTATTGTTGTAATTGTTTCACCGATTAAAGCGCTCTAAATAAAATCCGAAAATTCGAAGAAAAAGTAGTTAAAATCTTTTTAGTGATTAAGTCCAAATAATAAACAACCAATCTAATTAGAAAAAATAGATTAATACAACTCAAAGTAGAATAACATTTAAGTAGCTATATCAAAATTTAAAACTGAATTTCACTGGAAGGCAATCATTGTAAGTCTAGTAACATATTACATAATGAAATCAATTCGCATTTATCACAGTAAAGTGTTGTGTATAGTCTTTCATATTTCCTTTACGTATTATGAATGTCACTTATCTATAAAGTTAGTTGTTTGCTATGTAACATAAACTTCTCACAATGAAGACGATAAAATGTAGACAATATGAAATAATGTATACTATTGACAAAGGTTAGATAAGTGAAATAAAAAATAAAATCACAATAACACGTTTACAAGTATTCAATTTGAGCATTCCCAACAAATCTGTAGTAATCAGTATAAGATTGTGGAGATTGTTGAGTTCTTAATTGAGATCATCGACCGATAAATGTTAGACCACCATTGAAATTCTGGAAGCACTGGCTTTCAATGATGGTCTAACATTAATCAGTTCATGATCCCAATTAAAATTCTGTGGTAAATATTTGCATAAAATGAAAAGATTAACTAACTTACTACACTTGATTTTACATCTTTAATATCAAATAAACTGAATCGTATTGAATTGTTCTTATCAATTAAATCGTGGCGTAGAAATATTGTTTTCGAAAAAATTGGGTTCCGAGAGCACTAAATATGCAATGACAACAACAACACAATAATAATTATTTTGAAAAAACGGTTTTATAACTAAGATGAAGCATTAACATTAAACAATAATGTGGTACTATTAACCTATGTTACCATGGAAATTTTTATCTGTATAACTAACAGTGTTTTGTATAGGTAAATGAAGGATTGGTTTGGTACAGTATGGTGAGGTCAATGAATTAAATTTAGGTACTTCTAGAGATAATCATTTTGAGAAGTAAAAACCTCTTAAGCTCTTACATATTATCTAAAATAATAGAACCAACGGCTGGGAAATGGTGATGTTAAGAGAAATTTATCCTACTGAAATGAATGTTACGAATATGTACTAACTGTATTAACTAAAATACATCTAACCATTATCTACTAAACTATGTGATATCAACTCGTGTATGAGTAAGTATAGACAAAAAACAAACTTAACCGGATCAAGAAACAGGGATCAATTAAAAAAGTCAAAAATTCAGATACCGAAATGGTTAGGTACTCATGGATATTTCAAACAACAATTATCTAATAAAAAGATCAATAAACTTGGAAATAACAAGGCAAATTACATCATAATTTTTTTAAAGTGAAAAGTTGTCAGTAGGGAAAATTATTTGTCAAAAATCTCTCTCATGTGACCATTTTTTACTTAATTCACTAACGTCAATTAATGAACTTGTTACAAGTAAACATTTGTTGGACATTATTGCGATTATTTTACTTTGAAAAGTTCTATCAAACCAGGAACATCCAGCTTATTCCATAAGAAATTTCCATCCAAAATCAAAAAGAAAAAAGTACAAAACAGAGAGTAAGTAAACACATATGTATACGGCGATTTCATATTTAAACCAATAGCTGAGACATCAATACGAGAAAGGGGGTTGTTAAATTTCAGTTTTCTAATTATTTCAGCATGACAATAAGAGAAATAATTAACTAGGTTCCATAAAACACATGGCCAAAATCGATATTCTAATATTGACATAGTCTTAATAATATGAATTATTAATTTGAAGTTAAGATATTTACCAATACATATATTTCTATCACATTTATTTTTTCTGGATTTAAAACAATACTCTTTAAATATCATTAGTAAACTAATCAACCTAACGAGATATCACTTACAGAATCCATAGGAATTCTTAAGGAATACACAGTTGCCACCTTTTAAAATTTTATTACAACATAAATGTGACATAAGTTGCTTGCTTGATCCTTCTGTAACCTCTAGATTGACAAGTATTTGCATTTAAATTGTTCTAATTTTTAGAAGATACGAAAAAAATAAGGAAAAATAAGGAAATGGGGAAATAAATTGACATATTCCATCAATTTATCGCGGTTCATTACCAGGATAGTGACTTGTATAAACTAGACACCATTGATGAAATATTTGATGAGAACATACAAGCTTATTACACCAAGATGTGATTTTTAGTACTAAATTATCCCTAAACTTTAATACCACTTTAATACGACTGACGAAATCACATGAAATACACTGAAGATTATATGAAAAATACAGAATAAGAATCAGACCATTTTTGTCTGATAAGTCTAATATTTTTCGTTGGAAATCTATCAATTTGATTTTAAGTATAATATCCCGCAAATCACAGTCATTTGGAACAGGAATATTGGATAGATTACCAGCATTTCAAAACGTTTAATAACTTTTAATTAGATTGCCATGTATCTAAGTTCATTGGCATACCTATATATCAACTAACTACTATTAAAGACTCAAAAATTGTCAAGTTTCAATAAAAATATGTGATGTAGGTTCCCTTTGGATGGTAAACACTAGATTTGCCTTTTAGATGATTCCCATTTTCACTTTTGATTACCTGCCCAGTATACTTTATTTAAGCTTTCTTTATTTAGGCAAAGGCTTATACACTACTTTTGCATATATCATGGAGAGTTATTAATATGTTTAGCGAAGAATTATTTAGCCAGTTACCTTAGTACACAAACTCACTGATCAATCATCACAATGGTTTACTAGTTTATAGCACGGATGTGACACTGCTAACGAAGATGAAATACGATACTAATGGTCAATACGCAATGTTCGTAATGATCTGACGGAAAGTCTGATCAAACTCGAAGATAAAATAAAAGCACTCAGATGGCAATCAAAAACGAATTATCTTAACAAAAAACAAACTGGTTTATGAATACTAAAATTCACTTTTTAATCATTTTACAGCTATTTTCATAAAATCCAGTTTGATCAACAAACAAGATTCCTACTTGTTTTTTCACTTACATGTAAAGTAAAAAAATTAAGACAAAACGTAATAGGAAGTTACTAATCGAACAAATTACTTCAATTATCTCAGTTGCCCCAACTGGAGTCCAATTACTCTTCAGTGAAGTTGATATAGAAACAAATAGACAAGTATTAGGAAGCTCATTAGGATGTGCCATATCTCCAATATTCAGGCATTCTAAAATTGAACATAATCACAAGGTACTTTTTTAGTAAAAACAATACAGATCAGTAACAAAGCAAGATTAGATATGGAATATGAACAGTTTTTCCATAATGAGAAATCAACAAACTTTAAGTTTTCCAAACTACTGTAGGATATGAGAGCTAGAGTACATAAATATCTGTTAATTTAAAAATTGATCAAAACATTTTCAACAACTCCATGCATTCAAGTAAGTCTCGGAATAGAAGTCAGTGTCGACCCTTCTGTAACTTTCTTTTACTTTCTTCATAAAAGTAAGAGTAAATTCTCTAACTCAAAGAACCCTTTCTGGTTGTATTTTTCTTAAATGAGTCCCTATAACACTCTGGTTCAAGCTTTTTCATGGAAATATCAGTATATATATATACTATGGCAGTAGCTTCGCACCATTGTTCTATCGACCTGGCGCATATACGAATTATCTGAACCTGAGGTTCCTCTCGTACTGGAGAAGAGGCTACATCGAAGCACGGCAAGACTTCCGGGGCTCAATAGTTGTTTTTGCGGTTGTTCGTCCTTGATTTTACTTCCTGTCTGGTGATTGCTGACCACCTATGTACTACATAGCAATGATTGATTATTCCTTTCTCAGTTGTTAGGGTCTATTTACAGCCTGAACATGGATATTTATTCAGGTTATTTAGGGAGTTTTTTATTTATTGGAGTTTTAATTTCCATTATAGGTTGATTGTATTCGGGATGACAAGGTAAGATATGTTTATTAAGCCAGTCCAATGTCTTATAAGTCTTGTTATAGTCAGTTAGAGGACAGTTGTAAAGGGCTTCAATATTAGGTCTATTTTGATGGTCGTTTCTGTAATGCCTATTCATTTCTTTAATTGTAGCAAACTTTCTATTGCAAATTTCATTTTGATACATGTGATTAAGTCGGTATTTTCCTATTATCTTAGAAAAATATTCCTGGTATGCATAAATTTTAACCTTGCTGGGCTGGTTTATCTAGTTTTTAGGTAGTCGTTCGCCCATTTCCTCAATGCCTTGATGTAGTTGTCTTAACCAATCTTTAGTATGGGCTTTTATATTTTTGCATGGATTTTTAAAGTTGCAATTTGAAGACCTCATCATTAGATTATTTGGTCTTTTGTGTGCAGTATACCATAGATTTAGTCTCGTTTGCAGGATTTTATTGGCTGTTAGGCAAGTTTATTTTAAGTTTAAGTTGTTCGATAGTAAATTATTTTCTATCGACTATACCTAAGAACATTCGTCTTACTGTGTAGAGAACCGTTTCTAATCTAGTCCAGTCTCGTTTTCTTGGTGCTATGGATTCTAGTCCTTAAGTAAGAATGAGTATAATTAGAGAATCCACCAGTTTGACTTTAGTATTAAGACTAAGTTCTTTAGATTTAAGCACTAGTCTAGTCTTAATTACCTCAGTTGTAGCTTTTTCTACGTTATGGGTTATAGCGTTATTTGGGGTTCCTTTGTTAATTATAGTGGAGCCAAGGTAATGGAAGGTTTCTACTTTCTATATCTCTTTTTTGTCCATACTGACAGTTGATAAGCTGTCCTTCTTATTTATTATCATAACTTTCGTTTCGGAGATTGATATTTTCATACCAATGCTAGTTAGGTGCTGTTGTAGGTTGTTTAATGCTTTAGTAGCCTCTTCCATAGTATTAGTGATTAGACACAAGTCATCAGCATATTCTAAGTATTTAATTATCTAAGTCCTATTATGCTGATCTTCTAGAGTTATCCCTTTTGAAGTTTTATCTATAGTTTGTTCTAATATATTTTGAAAGACTAAGTTGAAGATAGCGGGACCTTCTTTACTGCCCTGCCTGACTCCCCTATACATTGACAAACTTAATTATGTGTTCCTTAGATAACCCTTAGGGTTATCTAGTAGTTTAGCCATACGGGAGTTTATATTATTAGATGGGCATGTTTTAGCTAATGTGTCTAAGATTCATCATTTAGGTATGGTGTCGAAAGCTTTAGTTAAGTCCATAAAGGTTAGAAATATGGTACGGTTTGTATTTAAAGCAGTTTGGATTATTTGCCTTAATGTTGTTATTGCATGGGTTGTAGCTAAGATTTTCCCAAATTGAGTTATTGGAAGTTAACTATCATGAAAGACCGAAAACTGAATAGTGATCCATTAAGAGAATCGTATTGTAGCACAAAATCAATTTTTCTCCACATCTCTATCTATACATTTAGTCCAAATGTGGTAAGAAATGAAAGATCAATTTCTACGTCAACCAATAACTGAATTTGATGGAATGATGAATTAAATAGAACGATTGAGTCTACATATATGGACCTACTAACAGTAGATAAATTTCTGTAGCAATCAGTCTTCAGTTGCACCAAAACGTTCAAAACACCGAGAAGTTACAAACAACCTGAATAATATCTAGATAACGTCAGTTGATAGCTACAAAGACAATATATATTGTTTAGCCAATCAAATAGAACGTCTTAAAAGTGGTGAAGTGATATAAAACACTCTTTTAAAAAATTTTAAAGTGTACAAAAATTGTTTGCATCTCAATAATTATTACCTAATTTTACTGAATATACGTAGACCATCTAAAGAAGAACAATTAGGTATCGATTGGGATCCCTGGTTTCAAGACCGCTTACGAAAAATAACAAAAACTAATCACGAAGTTAAATGCATCTTTAAATGCACTTCGTTAATTATGACAATAGATCAGTAGACTTACTCAGCATAACTTCAAGTCCCTCGTCATTCAATGAACCTGAAATGAAAATAAACAAAAATTAGTCCATCGATCCACACAATAACATCGCCTCATAAAATATACACAATTACCTTCCTCAACGATAGTTGGTGGGGTAACTGAATTACTAGAAAATCCAGCTTCTAGTGGATCAGATCCTGTGATTCTCCGTATTTCATCACGAAGCAAAGTAAAACGCCGTAACCTAGGTGCCAGTTGTGCCTTGTTAAGGTGATGACACCACTTCTCTGCCTCATCTTCAGAACGAGCGACAAATACAAGAGGTTTATCACCGGAATCGAAATCTGTGCAAGTCGTTTAACTCTGAACCATAAAGTTACCTAAACGAAATGAGTAGGATATTTCTTCATCTCTAGTACGCGACACAGTGAAACGCTCTAACAGTACCACACCTGAGACTTCATTGCTCGTTCTATCGGGAAAACGGCAAAGAATCAAAATGTTTCCTTTCAACCGGCACCAGTGTTCAGAAAAAACTGGAAAGTAATTTATAGCCAATCAAAACTTACTACATCCACGCTTTAATCGCGAATCTACTTTTTGTTTCCAATAGAGGATGCCTTCAAAAGACGAATTCCAAGAAGGAGATACACACCCAAGTTCCTTTGAATTGACTCTAACAAAACGCGAAATAAGAATTATGAATACAATAGATAAGTAATAAGATCACATGAGTTTATACATAATAATAACTGAGAGAAACCAGAATACTATGAGCCATAACATAGAAGCCCACAACCGTGAACATGTAGTCGCAAAGGTCAAAAGCCGTTTTTAAGCAATCACTGTGGGACATAACAAGTTCAAACAGACAATTCAAACCAGAAATCATATTAAAAATACTGTCACTTCATATCGCAAACAACAATCCCATTTAGAGATCTCCAAATAAATCATCACTTAACTGATTAAAGAATAAGTTTAATGTTTATTTTAATTTTACCTTAGGTGTCTCGAGTGTCTTTAAGGGATAGAGCGACCAAACAAATACGAGTATTTAAACTATCTAGACTACTAAATTTTATTTTTGACTTGAAATGTCAAAGTAACAAACTCCATCAAGATATCATACGATAATTAAGTGGTGAAACCATGAAAACACGGAACACGCTAAAATGAACTTTAGGTTCCCAAACTATTTTGCAGAATCAAACAAGCAAGATACTTCAGGAAGTTTGTATATTATTTATGTTTAGTACGAGTAACAAGGTACTTAGAGTAGAGACCAGTAACTTCAGTTATCAAAACACTTTTAGGATGAAATATATAAAAAGACAGCTAATTAAAGGCTAAATGGCTATAATAAACTCATACTGTGTATGACTTATAAACATATATGACATGAATGTAGTTTTAAACAATTTTAATCAGCAGTCATAACTATTATAAGCAACCTGACTGGATAAAATAGTTTTCCACAGTGCTAAGATAAACAAAAAGCTTAATTGTTGAAGGCTATCTTATGTTTCCATTTTACTGTTTCCTGATATTTTTAAGCTTTCTGATATTCAAAATACCATACATTTTGATGTAGCTAAACAATATTTTATAGGTTCTCAACGTCAATTACCTGATCTTCTCATTCCATAGTACTAAAACCGTATGGATCTTATATAATATGTCTATTACAAGTCATAAAACATCAAGTGGACTCTAACGCCTTCTATCACTGTTGGTGGCTATTTTCCCTCTTCTTAACAATTTAATCACGAGCATAAAACCTTATTGAGCTACCTTCACAAAAATACTTGGAAAGAATTCCGCAGTTGAAGTAAGCTTTCCATTAAAACTATATGGTAAGTATTATGAGATAAAACTTGATACATACAACGCAAAATGTAGTTGGTGGACATTTCGCAACTTCATCTGTAGCTCAGTCACAATTTCGAAAGTCGCTCTATTAGAGCAATTTGATGTAACAAGACAAAACTATTAGTCATCCAGACAAGCAGACTGATGTTCACTTTACATCATATTAATCCTTTTCTACACAAAATATCGCTGAACGAGTGAATACAGCACATAGATACTAAGTTACAAAGTAACTGATGCATGGCGGTCAAGGTCGAATGAAATGGTATATATATATATATATATATATATATATATATATATATGATAAAATTTATAACTACATATACCTCATGTTTTAGCCATATTCTACGGTCTTCAGGCCTTTATAAGCGTAAATAATGGACAAAGTACACTTGAAATATGCGACTGAAGTATAAGAAATGGAACTTATAAGCTGGAAATTGGAAGTTCTTGTCTCGACCTTATAGTCACCTGAGAAAAGAGAAAAATTAGATAATAAGCTTAGCTGAAGGAAGTCTTCCAGAATATGTACCTTCTTGTTTTAAGAACAATCAGTCAATCATTTCAATAAGACATTCTTTTAAACTAAATCCTACACTCTATATTTTTGCTACAAGAGTTAAAGTGCATTTATATGCAAACATATCTGTATCAGTCCTAGATAATGAACTTTTAGGCACTTTTTAAAGTAAAATTGATGAATTAACGGGATGTAGATTATCACGGTTAAAATAGAACACATTATGATAAAATCCCCCCTTTCTTAGCACTCTAAGAAATAAATTACATACTGCCAGGTTACACAGATGAAATTTTTGTTACGGTTTAAAATACTTCCACGGTGACTGGTGGTGGGGCTATAATTTATGGGCGACCTTTGTGCAGTGCTGAAATGACTTCAAAGCGTTCATCTATTGATTATGGTTAGGTAAGGGTTATAGATTAGTATGAGGACTTGAGAATAAGATTAACTGTTGAACGTTGAGGTTGGGAATAAGATTTATTGTTTTCATCACGAGCTGACATCAGCTGTAATGACAAAATGGTATTAAGCTGAATGAGTGAATGAAATTTGCACCCATAAATTATAGTCTCGCCCTTAAAGTCACTAGTTGAAACTTTATGATTTTGTTCTAACCGGTTGGACAGTTCCTAGAGCCCAAGCAATGGTTAGAAGAAGACCAGAAGTGTGTGGAACTCCACCACAAGCCCAAGCATAAATGAGAAGTTAGTCATCACTCGGCCAGATGTTTTACGGCTCTTTAAAAAAAGACGTACAGATTAGGATGAATAATAATACGGGGAACGAAGTAATTACTCCCGTTAAGAACTCAAGAAACCATTCGAATATAAACCTTAGAAATTTCAACCCAATAATATTCCAGCCCCCTAAACAAGCTGACTATAACTGAAAAATCCTACGTTATTACGCAACCCATTAACTAAAAAAGTATAAATAATGTGTGTGCAACACAAGCCAAAATGAGAATGTTTAGAAAATTCTGAAAAGGAATCACATGTAAGTACATTTTGGGTTATGTGACGCAATCTGTCATAAGCTTTACTCAAAAAGTGGTTGGTCTCCCAACGTTAGGAGCCTAGGCTTAAAAATAGGAACCTGAGCTACCAAGTTTGGGGAAATTTTGGGGTATTTTGGAGAAACTCCCGAAGTCAAATGACCTTCACATAGCTATAGCTATGTAGTTGTAAGCAAAAACAATGAATAGAAAAACTAAAACCTGCCCCGAGTATGATAAATTAACCCACAATTATCAAGACTGTTATTGATCAAGCATAAAATATTTAAAGGTAATTAATGTATATATATTCAAACTAATCACGAATCGATCGATTCGTGAACCGAACGAACTCCATGATTCTCTATCATATATATACGTCATCCATACATAAAGATGAGTGAGGTGAAGATAAAATGCCATGTTTTAAAAAGACATGAATAAGACAACAAACTTAATTCCAAAGACATATCAAACGGACGCAAATATCTATTGCTTTTCAAGGTCGAACGAAGCTTACCGAAATACGCGGCCAGACTTTATTGGAAGTTGAAACCTAGGCCTAATATGCACGTTACCATTTCTGTTCTGCGTTCTCACAACAAGGACAATCTAATGAAATGTGAGTTGGTTTCTAAGTGTTCGAAACGTATTTTAAAATTGTTTGCCGATAAAACCGTTTCTTCATATTTGAGGAAAAACGAACGGACAACCTTTACTGCCAATGAATTGTTACTATACACTAGTAGACATGTTATTTGGATACGACGAAAGAGTAAGTTACGTTAGGCACAAACAGAACGGTGACTTCAACGTTAGCCGATTGGTCATGCCATTCCCATCGAATTCGAGTGGGCTCACAATCATCGATACAGATTACCTAAGCTGATGATCTACACTGGTGAGCAAGACGTTGAATTAAATATTATATAATGGTGATTAAGTTTTCTGTAATCTCAAAAATTCGCCAACTACTATGATTATGATGAGAAATCTACAAACCTATGTTTGCCCACCAACAATTGGAGAGACCAACATGGCCATCAGGCGAATCAAGAGCAGCGAAGCAAAGGAGGCACTGAACGCAAGCCTAGCAGTAACTGCAAAGATACTCCACATTTTCTTCGGCAAGATCTGATCTCTGCAGACTCGATAACGCTTCAAAAGTCAGAATAATTTTAAGAACACTTGGGAGGATGGAACATGAACGCTATATTAACTTCAATCTCCGAAGAACCCACGAGACTTTAGTTTTGATGAAAAAATTAAAACCCTGTCTAAAATCTTTGGAGAACAATCATCTCTATATAATATCCGTTACCGATGCTTGAAGATAACGAAAGAATCAGAAGATGACTGGGTGAAACATGCAGGGATTGTGAACCGAGAATGTGAGAGGTTCAAATTGTCTTCCATGACTGCCTAGTATTTATCTGTAGCCTGCATTCACTCGAAGATGCTGACATCCGAGTGAGAATCCTAAGCAAGCTAGAACACTGTCTCAACATGACGCCTCAGGAAGTAGCTACCAAATGCCAAAGGTTAGTGAATCTGAAGTATGATGCCTCGATGGTAGAGAACGGTAACCGGTTCCTTCATGTCAATGCAGTCGAGAAGAAAGTCTCACGAGGTTACAGCACTCAGAATTATCGTAATGACAGCAACAAAACATCATCCTCCATGCTGTTTATGTGGCTGTTGGCAATTCAAGAGGTTTTGTCCGTTTAAAAATCATCGTTGTACTACGCGTTCAAGAAAAAAGAAAAAAGAAAGTCATTACAAAACACGGAAAGCTGTCAAACGAAAGTGTATTCTAAAAGATTGAAGCCACAAACAACTAAAGTAACGGTAGCACTTCACAAAGACGACTTCCATAACCGTAGAAAGTATGTTTATCTCAAGATTAATGGGTATGGTGCCCGCTTACAGTTAGACACTGCCATCCATATAACGCTTATGAGCAGGAGAATGCGGGAAAAAATTGCGAGACCGAGAACATAATCAACACATCAATCAGCACAGAGTGAATCTGAGGGAATTCTAAACACTGCTAGTGAAATTCCTTGTTAAGTCATAGTCTATGAAGAAGGGTGCAATATTTCTGACAGACCGTCCATCACCCGACTTATTGGGGCTTGATTGGATAGAAAGGCTGAGGTTTACAGACCGCCCCATAAACCCGATCTGCAACAACGTCGGTACGTGGAAAGTTTAGAAGGACATATCCAAAAGAACTCTGGTCAAAGGGGGAGGAGAAAGTATCCCAGAACGAGTGTTCATACCGGAAGGAAAGTCACCAGACGAGTGTATTTTAGGAAGAAAATCCGGACAGTTTTTAACAGCATGTTGCCGCCCAGAAAGACAAATAAACCCATGAATGAGTATCGTACGGTCACTCGTGGCTTCCAGGTGGGTTAAAGGGTACTTGTCAAATCGTATCAAGGTAATAGAAAGTGGGAACCAGGTGTCATAGAACATCGGATCGGAAATGTACTATACCTGGTACGGAGAAATGTCGGAACGTGTTTAAGACACATAAATCAAATTCAAAAAAACGGCAGAACATTGGTCCCACAATACCGACTCCCGTTTCACTCGCTTGTGGATTCATCTTGAAAAAACCCTCATGAGCACTAATGTAAAAGAGATAAAAGACGCAAGGGCAAAGCTGCACAACCTTCGAGAGTGATGGGCTGCAACAGCAATACGGTAACCAAGTTTCAGGTGGATCCGAGGAAAAAGTTTTACATAACAGACTTAAAAGAAGGAAGTTGTTGGGGTGACCCGGAAAACTTCTCACAAAAGACAAGCGAGAATCAGGAAACACTAAAAAGCATTTCATCTAATCAGCGTTCACCAGAAGTTTAGCCAGAAACATTAAGAAAGTGAAAAGTTACATGTAGAATTTCTGATTGGCTAATTACTATACTGCTACTATGTTTAGTAGCACTCCAGAATTTTCGTAAACCCAAGGACACCTAAAGTATTATAAAAACCTTACATTTTCCGTAAAAAAACGAACCTTTGGAGTAAAGTGCTTCTCTCATGATTCGCGCCTTTTCTCTCGTGTTCAGGTCACTGTGTAGTTCTAGCTTATGGTTTATGAGAATAGCTTAGGAACCGAATATAGTGTTCAATTAGCAAGACTTATCAGATGGGTTGTAAATATAAAAAGAAATGATTGATCTTAACTGGCTAGCGCTTGCAAGAGATGTAGAGCGCGGCGTTCCCACTCTTGATCTTGTGCGGATGCGTGACCGAGTGTCTTCGGCGTAGTGAGTCCATTAGGACTAGTGTGGTCAGCATCAAATGTCGGATACTAACAGAGCTATTGATTTCGGGGATTTATTTACCCCCACAACATTATTCTATCATACTCTAGTTAACAGTGGAGTTGCGTGGATTTTTAAGTCTCCGAATATACGCAAACGTGAGTGAACCTGAGCAATCCGATGCATCTGCAGCTTAAATAACTTTAACCCAAGGGGCAGGCATTCCTTCGTCCTCACATAGTTTTATAACCCACATTTGGCACTAGTTGTTAAGTGAACGTGCTCAAGGACAGCATCGCACTATGATTTACCAATTTCTTTTCCTCTTTTATTGTTACCATACCTAGGTTCCTGCCTGGAGGATTTGGTGATCCCCTGCTACTAGACACGGAAGCCTGTTAAGCGAAAGCTTCTTCTATTCCGTCCACAACCATTTGAACCATTTGAACCATTTGAAGGTCAGTCTGGCGTCGCTCAAAGGTCGTCCATAAGTTGTGGTCTCACTGCTTGTGATGCTTTCTTGTAGCCTTGTTGACGTCACAGTTACCAGCCCAAGCTTTGTTGATATGGAAATTTTCTACTTATGGGTACATGGACGAACTAGTAAGTATACCGCCAAGTCGTTTATATTCCTCTAACTACGATTTCTCGTCATTTATTCTCAGAATGCACCTAAGTTTGGCAAATTCTTGAGTAAATCAGCGAAACTTATATATATTAGGTTTGAGATAGCGGGTTTTAGATTTTTTGGCCCAAAACTCATTGATCCATATGCCTGTAATGCATCTTGGCGTTATAATTGTTATTAGTTCATGATGAAAATCCTTAATATAACCTCCAACCTCAGCTTTTAATTAAATCTCGATTCTGCTTTCTCACACTAATCCACAACCCTTCTTAAAACGTAGTACACTGGTAAAGTTTCTAAAAGTCACTTTGACGTAGCTCAAAGGTTTTTTATAAATTATAGTCTCACCTCCCATGTACTTGATAGAGTAGTTACCAGACAGAACTAATAAATTGTTGGTTGTGGATTTCTTGTCACCGTCTCATGAGAAACATTTAGGCAAAACATCTTACTATCTCCCCAATTACAGTCGTTAAGAGCGACAATGCACAAAGTTCCTTGAATTCATCAAACTTTCTTTGGGGATGCGATCTTTATTCCCCTCAAGTTCTTCATTTTCCCCTTTCTTGTTTGCTTGGGATTGTTCCGTCTTAAATTTTAGACCGTATTGGAAACAGTAATACACCAATTTCCTATTCGCAAGCTTTCTAGTTTGCCTTTAGAAATTTGAAGTTTGTATTCTTTAAATAAATAGGCCGTATACGGTCTATCATACCGTAAAATTCACTCAAGGCTTTATTATGGTAGCACTACATACACGAATTATAAAACAAAACCTATAGTGTGGCTTTTACGGTATCATGACAATTATTTCGATCATGCATTTCTAGGCAATGAAACCTGTTACCTCCATCCCACTTAGTAATATGAAGCCTGACTTCGAATGAATTAAGTTTTTACTGTTTTTGTCACCGTTCAAGGAACTTTAAGTGCACCGTTGACTTGATTTTACACTGTTGAATTCTCTTGTTGACACGAATTAGTTTTTCTGACTAATAAACCATTCAATCTGTGCATCTATTTTTCATGTTACACTGATGGTATTACTGGAACGTTTAAGTAATTACAGCTATTATTGCATGAAGTTATTGCTATCTGGTATCAATGGAAATATTCTTGGCAAACCACGATCATTTCTTTAGATAGGTATTTTATCTACCAAATTCTATTTTAATTACCCAGGATAGTTTCAATATAAAATGACCAATTTATTTATCGCTCCAACTAACCATAAACCTGTTTACTGTTCCGTCAATTTCTTAGTTTCTCAGGCTTGCACAATCATGGCCCAATCGCCTTCAGTAGAGGAGTATGGTATGACAAACGATATGTTGGCCGCACATGTCAGAGACCACTTTGCTCAATTCACACTTTTGGAATCAGGTTTACGACATCCGAATTCTTTCATGCAAGATTGTGCATACCACCAGCTTACACCAGAAACTCGCAAACAATTGATTCACTTGTACGTGTTGACCTCATTCCCCTGTTTTTCCTTTACCTTGCTGCATTCAGGAAAAGTGTTTCAGATTTCTAAAAGTAGTTGCCATACAGAAGATCACATATTAGCTGATTTATTCACCTTAAAATCTAGGCATTCTTCGCGTGTTGGTTTTATCAAAGCTGATATGGGACAAATACCCACAAGTAAACCCAGTGACCGGAAAACGCGCTAAGTTAACATTGTACGTTCATACTGGGATCTTGTAGGTCGTCACTCCACTATATCGGACCTTAGTCAATGCGACCAGTATGCCCATTTATCAGCGCTTACAGCAGTGACGCAAGTAGGCATGAATTAACTGTAAAGTAAATACTAATCATCCTTTGCCTTTCGCAAGGCATTTGGTCATTATATTTTGCCTTCCAACAATTCGGCGACCTACCACAGAAATGTTAGATAAATACTTCTACATAATTCAGATATACCTATCCATTCTCCGTATTCAAAAACAACTGGGATTCTCGTACGCAAATGTTTTCCACAAAATCTACGCAGTACGTCTCCTAATTATTTTATTTATTATTTATTTAAACACAAGTGTTGGTACAAAGGGCACTGAATACATATGCGCCATACAATTCACTTGGTTTGTGTGTGGGTTGTGATATTGCCCGGGTGCCCAAACTGAAGCACGTGGTTTTCTTGGGAGACCACAGCCGTAGCCTCCGACCTAAAAGTCTGATCCACGAGACAATGAAGCAACATAAGAAGCTGCAGTCCCATAGTAGCCGGTGATCAATAATTGGTTCATACGCCATTTGTCCCCTCAGGATACTGGAGCTCATGTGCATCACTAGTTTGAAATCAAGGTTTTCCAACTCCCCTAAGTGGATCGATCGTCTGTATCCACCGACCCGGTCAAAGCGCCGGACATTCGCTTTTCGTCCTGCCAATTTTGTAAACAACACCCCCGCCACATGAAGGCAGTGGGTAGGACTTCCCTGACAGTGGCTGTATACGTGTGGCCAAGTGAGAGCATTTGGAGACGAAGAGCTGACTCTCCCCACACTCGGCCGTAACAGGGCATTTGTGGGCTGTCTCATAATTACGGTATGAACAAAAACCGTTGTTGAGATCAAACTTATGTCTTGGAATTAGAGTGCTTAGTAAGATGGGAAGGCAGATTTATTTTATACATTTAAAATAATGATGTTCCATGTTAACGTTGAATTTGTACAACTAAATGGATATTGCGCTGAGTATTTTCAAATTCGCTTTCAAATGTTTTGCTCCTTGTCAATCTTTAAATTCCCATAAATGTCTTAGCTGGTTGGGGATTTGTCGAAATTTGTTACCTACGGTGAAACTGTCCTATCTGTCCGACTCCCAGACCAATAATTTCATCCAAGTGTATGAGGTAATCATAGTTTGAGATCTGAATTCAGTTCACTAGATGCTACATTTTATGAATCGAGTCAAATAAATCTATATTTTAACATTTCAGTGTAATAGTTTTACTTGGTATCTTCGTACCATAATCAACTGTAAAAATGAATATAATAATTAAACTCATTAATCAAGTACAGGTTTTGCACTATTTTGAGTCACACTTGTTGTGTAAAAGCTGATAATAGTTGTTTGCGCGAACTGAAGTACAGTAAGTTTTGGACTTGTGATTTAGTAACTAGAAGCTCAAAGCTACGATTTAACGTATGACTGAGGTGCTTTTCATGAGGATAGAAAAAGTTGATATGAGTTACTTTGTACTTGATTCCACGCAATCATTTCCTTACGTAATCCAAATATATTCTTATAAGATTGTTCAATACTTGTCAAAACGTCTATTCCGTAGACAACGTTGCAAACTGACTGGCTATTTTGTGACCTTCATTTTCAGGCTTGACTGGATATCCATCATTATATAATTATCTTAATTCACCTTGTATGCTTATGTGCAATTAGCATTTATTTTTGGCTAAGGACCTCGTAATATCATTCATCTTGAAAACTTTCAGTGTAATTTAGTTCAATCTTCCTGCTATTTGTTCACACCATATTAAGTATTGTTGTGATTTGGTGACAATTCATCCAATGTATTATTGTGAAACTTTGTACCAATCACCCATTCCACATCTTTCATTTACTTCGATTTATCATTATATACAGATACTATTCCCTTGATGAGAGTTTTTTACGTGAATTTGTTGGCAGAAGGTTATCAAATAAATCCCGACGGGAATTATCTGATATTGCAGAAAGATGTGAACTTCAACTAAGGAGTTGTAAAAGGCAGTTTGATAATTTGTCGTGTGTCGCCCGCCGGACTGAAGATTTACCTGGTCCACTAACAGATAATATAAAGAATTGTTTTCTTCTACCAGAATGGCTTGCCGAATGTTATGCCGCTGTTATATTTATTACAAGTAACAGGTATATTTACACAAAAACTTTTGACAACTTAACTGGTTTTGATATAAAATATGATGCAACAGTGCTTCAATTGCAAGTACAACATATTATGACAGCAGTAAAAACTGTTATAAAGTTATATGACGGGTAATATATGCATTCCTTGTTCTGTTAAAGGTTATTAGTATGTTGTATTCGCCTTATTTCATCAAACCTGTCTATCTGTTACTGCTTAAATGTGTGAAGCATTATATTTATTAGTCAGTGAGTTCTATCCAGCACTGCAGAAGAAAAAAACCTGTAATATTCCTAAGGAAGCGCTCGTTAATTTTGTATTATGTTCCATTCTTGTTCACACATTTGCTGGAGATTATAGTCTGATGTTTCCTTTTTCACGTATTTCGTTTCTGTTAAGTTTCTTAGCAAGGAGATAGTACGAAATCATTTGAGTTAGTCAGAATTGTGCTTATGAATTTATATTGTGTGGTTTATATATTGAAGGCTCTAAAACTTTGTGGTTGATCACCTCGAATAATACTGCTTAAAGCGGTTATAGTGGCCCGGAAAAAGCCATTCTTTACTCTTAACTAAACCTTTAGCACTGTTTATCCACATGTTTTTCCAGCTTAATCTGAGCATTTCGTCCCTTCGTTGGTCTTCACTCTTTCTTCGATTCGACATGCTTATTTAGGACGTATTTCACTGACTTTGTCTAATAGATAATCATCTCTCTGTACATATATTTCCTTAGATTTGAAACGTCTAAGAAGTGTCTTTCATATCTTACTTTTGAGAACTTGGCATACTGTGCAGGTCAGCTAATGACTCATTGGTCAACTAGTGGTAAAGGTAGGTATAAATTTGTTTTGTTTTCTTGATAAGTTGTAATTCGGTCCATTTTTTCAGTGTATGATAAAAAAGGAATTTATGATTTATTGTGGATATGATGTAAGGTACAGAATTAATACAATTAACTAATCAATCAGGTACAGATTCGTATACGTGCCCATGAGCTGGATTCTAAATATGAGGGTTAGTTATGCTACCAGGTTGCCAAAACTTCAATAGTTGGGAAAGGTATTACGACCTGCTGCTTGAAAGTTGAACGCCTGAACCATTGGGTTACTGTTCCACTTTCTCGTTATCTGACGGTCCCAGTTTATCAGAATCGTTTCAAACATCGTTATTACTTGCTTAGAACAGCAAATTTTCATTACCTAAGTTAGTCATTTATGAGTGTTATTTCAAAAGTTTGGTATATAAAATTTTTAATCTTAGACTCACTTAAGTATAAATAATTTGCATTTACAGTTCTGTTGATCCTATTACAGTCAGACAGTAACAACGTAGAACTTCGTACGTACGTACATCAGTTCGAGTTGCCACACCACATTAGTACGGAGATGCAGTGGCCGATTCAAATCCCGTAGTGCTAGATGTAGTAAAATTATAAGCTGTAATCAGAAAAATTAGGTTTGAAGATGTTATTCAAGGAGTATAATCCAGTGAAATAAATTTGGGAAGAGGAAAAATGGGACATGAAGATTTCAGAAGATTAGAATTCGGGAGAACACAAAGAGTGGATGCACCTGTACCATTGCAAACGATTTTGAGCCATGTCATTCAAGGTCTCTAACCATCGGTTGTTATCATCTCGCGGTCCCCAACCAGGTAGTCTACACCTACCAACATGGCTCAGTCCACTTGTCAGTGACTTCATGGCTTTGTGTCATGTTTTGGTCTGTCCGCACCCAGCTTTCTCCCAACCTACTCCTACACCATAAAACATCCCACGTCGGGGTAGTCGGTGGTTGGACATACGCGACACATTTCCCAGCCATCTCAACTGACGAAGTTTCACTACTTCGTCGATTTATTTGCCATCCTTACCTAGTACCCATTTCCTAACAACTGCGTTACTTACTCGATGGTCCCAGGATATACGAGCAATATTTCGAAGACACCTATAATCAAATACTAGTAACCCACGAATATCCTCTACTCCTACCGGCCATGTTTCACTGCCATAAAGTAGGACGGAACGAGCTGCTGCACAGTAAATAAGTCCTTTGGTTGGTAGATGGATATCTCACCTACGCCATAAATGACTTACTTACTTACTTACTTACTTACTTACTTACTTACTTACTTACTTACTTACTTACTTACTTACTTACTTACTTACTTACTTACTTACTTACTTACTTACTTACTTACTTACTTACTTACTTACTTACTTACTTACTTACTTACTTACTTACTTACTTACTTACTTACTTACTTACTTACTTACTTACTTACTTACTTACTTACTTACTTACTTACTTACTTACTTACTTACTTACTTACTTACTTACTTACTTACTTACTTACTTACTTACTTACTTACTTACTTACTTACTTACTTACTTACTTACTTACTTACTTACTTACTTACTTACTTACTTACTTACTTACTTACTTACTTACTTACTTACTTACTTACTTACTTACTTACTTACTTACTTACTTACTTACTTACTTACTTACTTACTTACTTACTTACTTACTTACTTACTTACTTACTTACTTACTTACTTACTTACTTACTTACTTACTTACTTACTTACTTACTTACTTACTTACTTACTTACTTACTTACTTACTTACTTACTTACTTACTTACTTACTTACTTACTTACTTACTTACTTACGCGTGTTACTCCTCGTGAAGGAGCGTAGGCCGCTCACCAGCATTCTCCATCCAACTCTGTCCTGGGCAATCCTTTCCAGCTCCTTCCAGTTCCTATTCATCCTTTTCATATCTGCTTCTATTATCCGACGTAATGTGTTCTTAGGCCTTCCTCTTCTCCGCTTCCCTTCAGGATTCCAAGTTAGGGCTTGTATCGTGGTGCAGTTTGATGATTTGCGTAATGTATGTCCTATCCATTTCCATCGTCTTTCCGTAATTTCTTCTTCAGCTGGAAGCTGATTTGTTCTCTCCCACAAAAGGCTGTTGCTGATGGTATCCAGCCAATGTATGTTGAGTATTTTGCGAAGACAGCTATTTATAAATACTTGTACCTTCTTGATGGTGGTTGTTGTAGTTCTCCAAGTTTCAGCTCCATATAGTAGAACTGCCTTGACGTTGGTGTTGAAGATTCTCACTTTGATATTGGTTGAAAGTTGTCTTGAGTTCCAGATGTTCTTCAATTCTAGGAATGCGACCCTTGATTTGCCAATTCTTGTCTTTACATCTGCATCTGAGCCTCCTTGTTCATCGATGATGCTTCCCAGGTATGTGAAGGATTCCATAAATGACGCAAGTTTGTAAAAGCTAGTCGAGCCTTCTGTATCCGTGCTGAGATTTCGTCACACACCAGACCACAAGGGCTGATGAGACTTCCAAGATAAGTGAAGCGGTCGACACGCTCAACTACTTCACTCCCTATCACTAGTTCGGGTGTTGATGTAACCCAATCCTGAAGCAACATTTTGCATTTCGAGGGAGAGAATCGCATCCCGAACATGCTTGCATTGTTGCTTAGAGTGGTCAGAAGACTCTGCATTTTCTCAGCGTCTTCACCAAATAGAACCATGTCATTGGCATATTCTAAGTCAACAAGTGAATCTCCCAGTAGAAGTTTAACTCCTGGAAATTTAGATAAGGGAAGTATTATCTCTAAAAGCATGTCAGCAACAAAGTTAAACAAAAATGGAGAGAGTGGGCAGCCTTGACGAACACCACTTAAGGTAATCAATTCTGCTGACAGTTCACCATAAGCTCTCACTCGGTTAGTTGTGTTTGAGTAGAGAGCCTTTATAAGGTTAATGTACTTCTTTGGTACTCCTTCCAGTGATAAACACTGCCATAGAACCTCACGATCAACAGAGTCGAATGCCGCCTTAAGATCGAGAAATACTACCATTGTGGGGCGTCTGAACGTATGTCTATGTACTAGGACCTGACGTAGTGTGACTATCTGATCTATACAACCATGTCCAGGTCAAAAACCATCCTGGTTTTCTCTAGTCTGTTCTTCACGAGCTTTAGTTGGGCGTCTATGTATTGTTGAAGCTAATATTGTAGACACTATATTAGTCAAACTGATTCCTCTGTGATTGTCACAAGAGTACTTTTGTCCTTTCTTATAGACTGGCACAATCAGTGATTGAGACCAGTCAGATGGGATTACGTCCAGTCCCCAGATTCTGCCTAAAAGCTCAGTCAATCTCACTGCTAGTACTGGACCGCTATCCTTAAAAAATCAGGGATAAACCTGTCAGGGCCTGATGCTCCCCAACATTTCAGATTTTCCAGCTTCGTAAAGAGTTGAAGGACTTACATCAAGTTGCCATTCAGGTAGACTGGAGATCGTGGGATTGTGTGGCTGAAGGCCGGCTGAACTGATCCCTAAAGTGTTTTGCCCATCGATCCAATCTCCTGGATTGAGAGTGAATAATGTGTCTATCTATTTGTGAGATAGTTTCACTAACAGTTGGATTCTTAACACCGGTTTCCTTGACAAGTCTGAATAGTTTTCTGCTGTTGCCGCTGTCTTTTCCATCTCTATTGCTTTTGCTACCCACGATGATTGCATAGGCTTCTTATCAGCCTGCGCTTAAGCTGACTCCACTCTTCGTTATGTTCAGAGCCAGATGGAATGAGTTTTCGAGCATCTATCAGTGCGGTAGACGCTGCTGAGATCCAGTGCTTCTCCCTAACTTTGTGGTTTACCGTACTAGCAGATATGAATGCTGTTTCCACAGATTTTCGGATATCATTCCACGCTGCCTCGGGGTGGGCATCACATACATGGCTGCCTAACTTTTTCTAGCTGTTCCTGAACTATATTCTTAGCTCGGCTATCATTAAGTAAGACCCTAAGAGGTTTACTTGCAGCGTCTTTCCTACGTCCAGTAAGACGCAGACAAATGCACGCTCGTACTAGAGCACGATCTGAATCTAAGCATGTGCTCCAGAACGAGCGACAGTCTTCTATCGAGCCCTTCCATCAGTGGTTGATAGCGATGTGATCTATTTGGGTTCAACGTTGGGATGAATTCGGGGATCGCCATATCAAAAGACGTTTTTCCTTATGCTTAAAGTTAGTATTTGCAAGGAACAGGCGGTTATCTGAGCATAGCTGCAACAGACGGTCGCCATTATCTGTTCTTTGAGCCACGACACCATAAGATCCACCTAGGTGTCTTTGCCTTTCTCTTAGTTCACCTTTTATATACTTACTTACGCCTGTTACTCCCAATGGAGCATAGGCCGCCGACCAGCATTCTCCAACCCACTCTGTCCTGGGCCTTCTTTTCTAGTTCCATCCAGTTCTTGTTCATTTTTCTCATGTCTATTTCCATTTCCCGGCGTAGTGTGTTCTTTCGTCTTCCTCTTTTCCTTTGGCCTTGAGGATTCCATGTGAGGGCTTGTCTTGTGACGCAATTGGGTGCTTGCCTCAATGTGTGTCCTATCCAATTCCAGCGCTTCTTCCTCCGCTGGGATCTGGTTTGTTCTCTTTCACAATACGTTGTTGCTAATAGTGTCCGGCCAACGGATCTGAAGTATTTTGCGTAGACAACTGTTAATAAACACCTGTATTTTCTGAATGATGGCTTTCGTAGTTCTCCAGGTTTCTGCCCCGTACAGTAGGACTGTGTTGACATTTGTATTGAAAATCCTGACCTTGGTGTTGGTTGACAGTTGCTTTGAGTTCCAGATGTTCCTCAGTTGTAGATATGCTGCTCTTGCTTTACCGATCCGCGCCTTCACATCTGCATCAGATCCACCCTGTTCATTAATGATGCTGCCCAAATATGTAAAGGTTTTCACATCTTCCGAATCTCCTCCGTCAATTGTGATTGGATTGGTGCATGCTGTGTTGTATCGGTGAATCTTGCTTTTCCCTTTGTGTATATTGAGACCTACTGCTGCTGAGGCTGCTGCTACACTGTTCGTCTTCTCCTGCATTTGTTGTTGCGTTTGGCATAGAAGGGCCAGATCATCTGCGAAGTCTAGATCGTCTAACTGCATCCTAGATGTCCATTGTATCCCGTGCTTCCCTTCAGACGTAGACGTCTTCATGATCCAGTCGATCACCAAGAGAAAGAGAAAGGGTGAGAGTAAGCAACCTTGCCTGACACCGGTCTTTACTTCGAACGACTTTGTCAATTGTCCTCCATGCACGATTTTGCAGTGTACTCCATCATATGAATTCTGTATGATAGTGACTATCTTCTGAGGCACGCCGTAGTGTCGAAGAAGTTTCCATAGTGTTGTTCTGTCCACGCTATCAAATGCCTTTTCGTAGTCAATGAAGTTGATGTAGAGTGATGAATTCCATTCAATTGATTGTTTCACAATGATCCGTAGAGTTGCGATTTGGTCTGTACACGATCTATCCTTACGGAATCCTGTTTGTTGGTCACGAAGTTGGGCGTCTACGGAGTCCTTCATCCTGTTTAACAATACTCTGTTGAATACTTTTCCCGGTATTAAGAGAAGAGTGATGCCCCTGTAGTTATCACACTTGCTGAGATCGCCTTTCTTCGGTATTTTGATCAGAAGTCCTTCTTTCCAGTCTGTTGGCACTTGTACCTCTGCTGGAATGTTGTCTGGTCCTGGTGCTTTGCCACTCTTGATTTGTCTGATGGTCATCCTGATTTCTTCAATTGTTGGTGGGCCAACATTGATTGGGAGGTCCGTGGGTGCTGCTTCGATGTTGGGTGGGTTCAGTGGAACTGGTCGATTCAAGAGTTCTTCGAAGTGTTCTACCCACCTGTTTCGTCGTTCTTCAATATTGGTGATTACCTCGCCTTCCTTGCTTTTGACTGGTCGTTCTGGTTTGCGGCTATTTCCAGAGAGTTTCTTTGTTATGTCATACAATTGTCTCATGTTTCCTTCTCTTGCAGCCTTTTCCGCCGTCGTTGCTAAATCTTCCACATATTTACGTTTGTCGGTTCTGATGCTCCTCTTCACTTGTTTGTTTATTTCCGTGTATTCAGCTTGTGCCTTGGCTTTTTCTGCTCTTGTTCGGCTGGTATTGATCGCTGCCTTCTTGTTCCTCCTTTCTTGAATCTTATCCAGTGTACCAACAGTGATCCATTCCTTGTGGTGGTGCTTCTTGTGACCCAGGACCTCATGACATGTTGAAGTGATTGCCTCTTTGATCCCCTTCCAGTTGCTCTCCATTGAGTAGATCATGAAAGGCCTGGAACTTGTTGCTGAGGACTATCTTGAATTTGTTGAGTTTGTTAATATCCTGAAGAAAGGCCGTATTGAACTTTTGTGATATTGTCCGCCCCGTTGTCCAGTGTTTCTTGAGTTTCAATTTCATCTTGGCGACCAGCAAGTGATGATCTGATGCTATATCAGCTCCTCTCTCGGTTCTCACGTCCTTTATAGTCCTCCTGAACGTTTTGTTGATGCAAATATGGTCGATTTGGTTTTGTGTAGAGTGATCCGGTGAAGTCCATGTGGTTTTGTGTATGCGTTTATCTGGGAATATGGTGCCGCCTATGACCAGCTTATTGAAGGCACATAGATTTGCAAATCTCTCACCATTTTCGTTTCTTTCTCCCAGTCCGTGTCGTCCCATGATGTCTTCATATCCAGTGTTGTCCGTTCCAACCTTGGCGTTGAAATCTCCCATCAGAATGGTCAGGTCCTTTGTTGGGCACTTCTCGACTATTGACTGCAGCCTATTGTAGAATTGATCTTTAGCGTCTTCATTGTAGTCGTTGGTAGGCGCATAGCATTGGATGATGTTCATTGAAATGCCCTCTTTTTTTGTTTTGAAGGAGGCTTTGATGATCCTTGGTCCATGAGATTCCCATCCTATAAGCGCATTTTTTGCTTGTTTGGACAGCATCAATGCAACTCCTTGTGTATGTGGGGCATTTTCTTCTTCATGACCGGAGTATAACAGGAGCTCTCCTGAAGTTAGTCGTTGTTGTCCAACTTGTGTCCAATGTGTTTCACTGATTCCAAGTACCTCCAGCTTGTATCTCCTCATTTCTGCAGCAATCTGGAAGGCTCTTCCGGTGTCCCACATTGTACGAACATTCCATGTACCTAAATAAATGGTCGCTCTGGTTGTCAGAAGGGGCATCGGCCTCGTAACTTCCGAAGGAATTCGGCTTTCATCATGAGGCGTCATAGTTCTTCTAAATGAAGACCTTCTGACTCCCAGGGCAGAGTCTAAAAGGTTTGAATAATTTTTTCTGGTTAGCGTTTTTTTAGCGAGTTAGTTTTCTATGGGATGAGGACGCTAACTCCATGCCCAACCCTCCTCCTTTATCCGGGCTTGGGACCGGCAGTAGCCCCCGGAGGGACTTCAGGCGGAGTTCACCTACTTGAGCATTAAAGTCACCAGCCACTATTAGTAAATCAGAACGCCTAGCTTTTCGGAGAAGATCGGGAAGCTTCCTGTAGAACTCATCTTTCACATCATCTGGGCTGCAGTCAGCGGGAGAGTAGGCAGAGACGACGAAGAGGCAACGACGGGCGTCCCTATCTTCCCGAGTCCTTACTGTTCCGTTTAGTCGGCCAGTGCACAAATGAATGTCTTATAGGATCCAGTCTAAGAGTGATAGTTCTGCCCTAGGTCTCAATACTATACCTACACCAGCGGGACCACGGGAAGCAACATAAGGCTTCCAGATACACGAATCGTGAATCGAGATTGTTCTTTATTTTGATATGGTGAGGTCAAATGAATTACACTACTCGGATCCTGTATGGGCGTTTCGGAGACGCAGCACACATTGATGGCGCGAGATTCCTAAGTCTTAGCTAAGGAGCCCTGTTGTCCTATTTGGCAGTGTTCGGACATTAAAAGCTCCTACATGTAGTTTCGAGCATGTTTTCAGGAGACCAGGAATGACGTTCCGCGTACTCGAATCGTTTTCACTAGCATTGAGAGTTGATAAAGGAACGTGAGAAGGGTAAGTCGGGGAGATAAGATAGTTATTAGGTGTAGAAAGGATTTGAATGTGACCAACTTGGTCTCGTGTCCTGTTACGGGTTTGAGGACTAATGTCACTTCCCGGCTGCCCACACTGTGGAAGGGTATTTCTTGAGGAACCTGAAAAGAAAGTTGGATTAGTGTCGGTCTCAACGACCTGGGAGCGTGACCGCAGAACTCAAGGGATAACTGCATGAGGCCGGTGGCGCACGGCTTTTCTGTGGGAAGTTTTTAACGTGTCAGCTCCGTTCTTTAGAAGGCCTCACCACCGGAGACGGGAATCCGTGAGGTAAGGTAAGGTGCGACATTTTTAGGGTCGACCTTTTCTGACCCTGTCCTTCCTTATGAGAAAGTAGAATCGCTGCAGATGCTGGTTGTTCGAGGGCAACACCTTATTGCTGTCACACCCCTCTACAGTCAACAGTACGACTTCGCCCTCCGACCTTGATTTGCTGCTTTTAGTCTTACTGTTCTCCAATCGACCTGCCTGGCATGGTAGAACTTACAGGAATATATGTCCCAGCCAATATAGTTCGGTTGGGTCATCACGACAGGCAAGCCTGACCACCACGTCAAGGTAGCAGCTACGGTCCGGGATCCTATTACTATGATGACGTTTATGTAATATTTAGATGGTTGAAGAAAATGTATATTTGGTGTGTAATTTCTTATTCCTTTCAGCAATATATATGTATATAAAAGTTCTTGACTTCTTTTTTTATTAAAGATCAGAAAGGTGAAACGGTTGTCAGTATTGATTTGGACCTTCAATTTTTTCATGATCTTAAAGAATGTAAACCACTGATTGAGAAAAAAGAATATTTAGATAAGCATAAACTGTGAGTTTATTTTTCATGATTCGGATGTTTAATAATAAGACATAACGCATATTCGATTTGTTTTCATGTCATTTGAATATACTTGACTTTATCGAAAGTACTCTGAATAATCTTTATCAAGTCCAAATTAAAAGATATTATTTATCAACATTTCAAGATATGTTTCGAGAGTTTGATGTTAGACGTTTAACGAAAATATAGGACATTATAAACCTATGTTTAGTTCTTAATGACTCTACATCCGAGCACGAAATCTAACGTATGTTTTTATAACAAATTTCGTTTTCGCCAAATCCAACCAACTAACTATTCAGACCGTTTATCATGGTAATCTTTTTCAGAAGTCGTCCCACTAACTCCCGAACATGTAATGCTTATTTTCTGATGAGTCTAAACATTTATCTATTGTTGCTTATCGCCAAAGCCTTTTCTATCGGTTTTGCTTTTGCTGGCCACCAATGCTCATGATCGTTGTGTAGACTTTTGTCAATCTACGTTTAATAAACGGAATACACCCATTATGACATTAAATAAGAAAGAAATATTAGTTCAGCGAAGAGTTCTCTTTTCGGCGAATTCATTTTCAAAGCTGTACAATCGCAAATATATATACTTATTTTTACAGGGTGATAATAATACTGATAATAAACTTCTGTTATACATGGTGACAGTGAGGTTAAATAAACAAAGGTATTAAAAAGATTTTTTTAAACAAGGAAAGTTTAATAATCGTTTGATAGTTAATGGCTGAAGTATTCATTGGGTAAGGATGGCTCAACATGATAAAATAAAATGTTGAAACAGAGATGAAATATGATCGGAATGATCGTGGAAATAAAAACAAACCGGTTGGGGGTAGAAGATTTGAAGGGAAGATGGAAGGTGAAGCAGGTGGCTGTAAGGGAACAAGAGTATGAAGGAATAGAAAAAAATTGTTAATACATTAAGACCATGGTAGAAGAAGAGGTTGTACCAGTCTCTTTTGTACACATAATTCTGGTTTTTCAGAATGTATGGCTATTGCCTCGGCAATCCAAAGAAGATGCAGTCTAATTGTCTTAGGAAAGCTTCTACTTACCTTGTAGATGACTTTGAACGCAGAGTCTGTCTTGATTGAATGACCTATGTTCACAAGGTGTTCAATTATTGAACTTCTTATTGAGCAGTTGTCTCCTCTTTTTAGCCACTCCGGACGATGTTCTTGAATTCTTTTGGATAAAATACGCATCGAACGACCTTTATACCTAGCTCCACAAGAGCAGGTAAATTGGTAAATGCACATTGAGTTGGTCAGATGCGATAATTTATCTTTCAGATTAATGGTGAACAGTGATCGGCTGGAAAACGTTTAAGTTTAAGCTTTCACTGCTCGTCGTGTCCCGTTTCTAATCATCAATCAATTCAGTAAATGCTACTGAAATCCACTGATTTTTCTTGACATTTTAGTTATAGCCACTATATGAATATTGGTATTTTCGCAGCTGATAAGATGCACTTCAGTGTTTTAAGAATCCCTTAAACTTGGTCATTCAGATATCCCCAAAATTTTGATCATTAATCAGTTTAAGGAATTTAGCATCAAGGAGGTGCCGTGGTGATTGGTAAGTTACGCATTAGGAGATTCGTAACATTGACTAAAACTGACGGATAACAGTTTTTCAAAATATTTCTTTCTGTATAAAGTTGATTCTATGACTAAGTTAAGCAAAAACAACTAATAAACCTTGTTTTTCATCAGTATATCGATACAATCCATGTTTTTATTATCTTTACAGACTTGTTATTCGCAATCTCTCTGAAATTCAAGCAAAAATCATTCTAACAAATTTAGACTCCAACTTCAAAGTAAGTTCATGTCAGAGTATTTCTTTACAGTGCAAGCTGCCAAACAAAAAGATCTTCTGTTAATGTCAATGAATATATCTAACTAGACAATTTTCTCTGATTTTTGCAATATATTTTTTCATAATAAGGTTAACATTTTGTAATTCAGACTAGTAATGAATGTAAACAAAATGTAAGCTACAGGTTTTTCTATAAATTAACTTCTGTCTCTCCGCCTGCCCAAAAGTTTTTCACTGTTGATTATTAACAGATGTTTTATTTATTTAGTTGAAGGAATAAATATTGGTACAAAGGGGTACCAGATACATATGCGCCACACAATAACAATGAGGATGTGACGAGATAAAAAATGTAAGGTACGTATAAGAAAAAAGCGAACAATAACGAGCAGAAATTAATGTCTGAGAGTGGAGTATATAATAATGGAAGAAACAGTTCAGTTCGCAAAAGTACAATCAGAAAGGATTCTTTCATTTAGAGAAGTTACGTCCATTTTTTATGAAGAAAGTAAAATAAAGTTACAGCAGGGTCTCCACTGGCTCATATTCTAGGAAATATCTGATAACGTCTCTAGTCACTGTGTTGCACAATCTCTAGAACTCCAACCAAGGAGTTGTGAAGGACCAACAGGAATCAGTCCTGTACGGCTTTGTTTCATACACTGACCACCTCTCCACTTTTTCCAACCAGTCCCAGAGTTGGAAAATAATGCACGACGTAGAATTCTCTGGGACAACATTCGTAGAACATGTTCAAGCCACCCGAAGTCGATGTTTCAAGATAGTGCCACCAATTGAATTATCATCTCTGTGCCCGAACATACAATGCCGAACCTCTGTATTACTAATATGGTGTTGCCACTGGATGTCAGCAATCCTTCAGAGATAACGATGGTCAAGCACAAAGAGTCGTCTAACATCCTCAACTCGGGAAGGCCAGGTTCATTCAACGATTTTTTATCCATGCTATTGCAAATAAAGTTCTGCACTTTTATTACTCACCTCATGTTTTCTTGTCAGTGTAGTTTGATAGTAGTCTCATACAATCTCTGTTAAAATCCGCTGTTCCTCTTAGTATAAGTAAATATCACTTACAAAAATTTCTACACTGTGACTACTCTAAGTTGTGCGATTTTATTAATTTGTTCAGATATTCAAATTAACAGTGGTTTTATTAATAGATCTCTTAAGAGATAAGCGATAACTCCCTCCCTTTCCCCATAAAAATCATATTTCAATCCTAACAAAGCATTGACAATTTTGTTTTTTATCCTTTCCTATATTTTTAGCCTATCTCCAAAGCAGTGATAAATTTAGCCTGTGGTCTAAGCCACGCTCGAGAAATGCGAAACTTCTTCTTGGACATTATTGAAAAGGTATTTTTAAATTCTAAACCATTGAATTATTGATGTTCTGTAGTAGTTGCATCATATATACATTACATTTTTACCAATAATAAATGATGTACTGAAAAGGTCTGATAGTAGTAGCACTTCTCGTACGAAACGTGTTGTGCCACATAACCCTATGAAATGGTTGATGAGCAGTTTGATCACTTCAAAGTTTCTCTCGTATTATCGCCTTTTGGGAAATTCTGCAGCGTAGTTTCAAAAAACTTAAGTACTTCACTCTATCCCCTTGCAGGTTTTCCTACTGCTGATTGTAAGGTTAATTTCATTCAAATTCTAACCGTTTCACACGGTTTCATAGTTCTGTCTTCCTTATACTGTTCTCTTTAGTTACTACTAAGAATTGAATTTTCTGAATCGAATATCTGATTGCTAGTATGACTATTATTATTATTATTATTATTATTATTATTATTATTATTATTATTATTATTATTATTATTGTTCTATACAAGCAGTTATTTCCTGTCTTAAGTAGTGGTATATACTTTCAATTTTTAGTTAATTGAACCAATGCGAGCACTGAACTGGCCATCAAGAGAAGTTAAAATGTTTTTCGATGCTTATCATAATACCGTTAAGGCTCTACCTCTTGGAAGGTAAATACTGTATCTTTTTATTAAGTATGTAGAAATATTTTGACATTTGTCCCAATATGTAGTAAAACACCCCGTTGTGTATAAGATTAGAGGTTGATATACGATTTCTAACATATGAATGACTACTTCGAATACATTATTTATTTATTTGAACACATACATATTGGTACAAGAGTGCGCCAAATATATATGCGCCACACAAAACAATGAGAATTTAAAGAGAAGGAAAAAGAAAAAAAGGTAAGGAGGTTAAAAAAGAAAGAACAGTAAGGAAGAGATTGGTGTAAGGTGGTGTAATAATAATAATAATAGTAATAATGGAACGGAAAGGTACAATCAAAGAAACCCTTCAATTAAGGAAGACACAACCATTTTTTTATGAAGAAAGTTAAAGAAGAAGACAGCAGGATCGCCACTGGCTTCTATTCTGAGCCATATCTGATAACGTCTCTAGCCACTGTGTTGCACAATCTCTCGGAACCCAGCCAGGGAGTCGCGAAGGACCAACACAAGCCAGTCCTTTACAGCTTTCTTTCATACCACGGCACCATGTCATATAGTGACCACCTCTCCGCTTTTTCCAACCAGTCCCAGAGTCGGCAAATAATGCACGACGTGGAATTCTCTGGGACGACATTCGGAGAACGTGTCCAAGCCACCAAAGTCGGTGTTTCAGCATGGTGAAACCAATTGCATTATCGTATCTGTGCCCGAACATACGATGCCGAACCTCTGTATTACTAACATGGTGTTGCCACTGGACGTCAGCAATCCTTCGGAGACAACGATGATCAAACACAGAGAGTCGTCTAACGTCCTCAACTCGGAGAGACCAGGTTTCACAAGCATAGAGCAAAACTGCTCTCACCGACGCGTTGTAGATCCGACCTTTCACAGCCAGACTAACATCACAAAGGCGCCAAAGATGGCCCAGATTGGCATAAGCCGCTCTGCTTTCACTATACGTGCATTGATCTCATCACTCACACCCCCACCAGCACTTATGCAGCTACCCAGATACACGAACTTCTCGACTACTTCTATCTGCTCATCATCCAGGGTGAGTACAGGATTGGAATCCCGCCAGTCTTGTAGAAGTACTTTGCATTTCGAAGGTGCAAAGCACATACCATACCTACGGACACTGGTTGCCAACTGAATAAGTGCGGATTGCATGACTTGGGCATTATCACACAGTAAGACAATATCGTCCGCATACTCAAGGTCGAGAAGTTTTTCTCCAGGCAGCAGATCCACACCGCCATTACTTACATCCATCAGAGCTGTTTCCAGAATGTCGTCGTTGGCAAAGTTGAAGAGGAATGGTGAGATTCGGCAACCCTGCCTAACCCCACTTCTCGAATGGAACAATGGAGAAAGTTGGTTGTATGCCCTCACTCTGCCTGAAGTGTTTGCATATAGGGCTTTTCAGATGTTAATAAATTTCTCAGGCACATCCTTCTTCAATGGACAATCCCAGAGAACAGTCCTATCCAACAAATCGAAGGCAGCCCTAATGTCAAGAAACACTACGATTGTTGGCCTTTGATAAGTATGGCGGTGTCCCAACATCTGGTGGAGGGTGAAGATATGATCAATACATCCTCTACCAGAACGAAACCCAGCCTGCTCCTCGTGAGTCAATCTTTCTCGGGTTTTGAACAACCTACGAAGTATGACGGAAGCCAATAGCTTGTACGCAATCGGAAGTAGACTTATCCCCCGATAGTTGTTGCAGGAACGACTTGAACCCTTTTTAAAGATAGGGACAACTATCGACTCATCCCATGACGTTGGTACACTCTCTAGTTCCCAAACCTTTGTAAACAACGTCGTCAATTCCTTAGTCAGAGAGTCACCACCATCTTTAAAAAGAGCCGGAGGTAAGTTATCTGGGCCCGGCGATTTGTAACGCTTCAAGAGTTGGAGTTCCTTGCGGACTTCCGCCTCATTTGGTGGATCAGTCGTCACCGGCCATGGAGGGCAGGACAATCTGACCGATGTTGCCGGAGCAGCAGGCCAGTTGAACTGCCCTCCGAAGAATTCTGCCCATCGTCCAAGACGCCGATGGATGTTAGTGATTGGCGTTCCATCATCCTCACAGATTGTTTCGCTCACACCAGACTTCCTGCCAGTGGCTCGGACGAGTTGAGAGAGCTTCCGGCAATTACCAGATGCAGCTGCTGCTTCCGACTCATTAGCACGCTTCGACCACCAGGCTTCTCGGTCCTTACGCAAGCTTTGCCCAATTTCATTACGTAACATCCTTCGTTTGTGGTCAAACTCACGGTCACCTGGAGTAGACCGACGGGCTTCAATGAGTTGTAAGGAACCTGCAGAAACCCAATGCTTATAAGTGGGACGTTTCGCGAACCCACAACTGATTTTACTCGCCATTTTCATGGTGTCATGCAATTGCAACCAATTCTCATCCATACTTTTCGGTGGAATGGTAGCTAGCCTAGCAGCTAGCTCGGTTCGATACTTGTAACAGAAGTTGCAACCAGCTTGCTAATATCAATCCTTTGGTGGCGGTCACTTCGTTGGCCACCGAAAAGTAAGGTAAGATTGGCGCAGATCAAGGCATGATCAGAGTCCAGATAGGTACTCCAAAAGGAGCGGCAGTCTTGTACACAACCATGCCAGCGGTAGCTGATCGCGATGTGATCAATTTGAGTCCAGGCTTGAGATGCAGAGGGAAGACGCCAGGTGGCACATCGGCGATGACTGTGGCGAAAGTTAGTGCTGGCCAGAAACAGGTTGTGGTCCGTGCAAAGTTGCAGTAGACGGTCCCCGTTATCTGTCCTGCGACCAACAAGTCCCCATCGGCCACGTAAACGACTCTCTTCTGTGCCTAGACACCCAACCTGAGCATTCAAGTCTCCGGCTAGTACTACAATATCTGTCGAACGCACTTTCTGGAGAAGAACAGATAACTGGTGGTAAAACTCATCCTTGATTGCATCCGGGCTGCAATCTGTCAGGGCATAGGCGGAGATGACGAAAACACATCGTTTCTCACACCGATTTCTTCTCACTTTGATGGAACTCTCTAATCTAACAGCACATAACCGACTGTTAATGTGGATCCAATCGATTAGTGCTGTCTCAGCTCTAGCGCTTAGTGAGACACCAACGTCAGCAAGACCAGACGGAGATGCCACAGGATCCACGGATAAACGCACGTAAAACAAGCTTTTTGAAGCGACAGATGGAGAGCGAATTTGTAGTACTTCACCAGAGTCTTGAATATGGGTCTCGGATAAACAACAAACATCGATATTAAGACTTTCTAAAGACATAGCCAGCCCTATCTGTTGTCCGACCTGCATAAATGTGCGAACGTTGAAGGCAGCCAGTTTGAATGGTACACGCGGTTTCAAAAATACTGCTTCAGTACTCGTTTTCGGTGGTAACATACAATTTTCAACCGGACAGTGACTCGAGAACGTTTAGACAGAGCCGAATTTCCACCATAGACGAGCTGCTGTATAAGTCGAAAAAAATAAGTATAGACAGTAGGAATAAAAGAGGGTGAATAATGACGTAGTAAATAATAATAATAATAATAATAATAATAATAATAATAATAATAATAATAATAATAATAATAATAATAATGCAAGTCACTTGATTGTAATTTGGAGCGAGAGGAATATTTTTTATAAGTAGACAGTTTATCATGTTTTTGTGTGCGGGCTGAGATACTGCCCGGGTGCCTAAACCGAAGCAGGTGGTTTTCTTAGGGAGCCACACCACGAGCCTTTGACCTAAAGGCCTAACCCACAAGGCAGTGGAGCATCGTGAGGAGATGAAGTCCCATGGTAGCCGGTGACCAAGGAATTGGTTCATACACCATTTGTTACCGCAGGATACTGGAGCCCATGTGCACCATTGGTTTGGGATCCGGTTAAAGCGCCGGACATTCGCTTTTCGTCCTCTCATTTTTGTAAACAACACCCCCGCCACGAGAAGGCAGTGGGTAGGACTTCCCTGGCAGAGGCTGTATACGCGTGGCCGTGTGAGAGTATTTCGAGAGGGAGGGCGAACCCACCCCGCTCTCGGCCATACCAGGACATTTGGGGGCACTTCGAATATGTGCTTGTATGTGTATTGGCTACTGTTTCTCAAAGATCGATCATCAGCACATCGACTTTATTTTCTATCTTTAAGTGATTACACAATAATTTTCTGATACTCATATGTTACTACTTTAAAGAAGGATCGCCAATTAGATTAAACTACTCAATGGTCACTTACCCATTGTTTTCAAACTTTCTTTTCTGATTTTCGAATTGTTTCAAGAATTTGTTAAGTTATATACTATTTTATTTTGCTCAGCACTGATGTCGGGAGTGAAATACACTATTGAGCTAAAATGTGGTAAGGTGGACTACGCTTTTTGACTGTGATGTAGTAATTCAAATCCATACACATTTATCTCGCGCCTTATTTTGTTTGTCGGTTCCGACTACCAGTAACTTTTGTTACAAGCCCAAGTTCTGCCACCTTCCTCAAACGTTGTGCTAACTTTGCGATGTTCAACAATGGCCACAAGTAGTTTTATATTGTAAGAAAACCCGAAATACTGTGACTTACAAATCAATGTATATGTCCCTCCGTAAGTAAGATGGGTAGAATAATCTTACTTACGCCAGGAATCATTCGCAGCAGTTTTTAAGTAGTTGAATATCTGCTTAAAAACTAAAGGAAATCTTGATTTACTAGGTAAAATCCAAAGTGTCATTTTCCTATTAAGTTTGTTATGATGGTGGGGGTGTTGGTTCTGACATTTTTATAATTCTATTAAAGGATAACACATTGTTCGAGTCTGTTGTCTTAAAAATTCACCGAGATCAATCGTACTTTTCATTAAAGTGTCTGCTGTTTAATAACATGATCAAGGAACCCTTTGAAATGATTGATATGCTAGTAGTAAGTTGAATATCAAAATATCAATAGACTTCATAGCCTTTAATCAACTTAAACAATTAAAGTTAAAAAATATTCGAAGAAGAAATTGGATCTTAGAATGTTCAGTTCACGCGTGGGAAACAATCATTGAGTATAATGTATTACAATGTTAAAAAAGGAGGTCAACAGAATTCAATCGAATTAATGTGGATAAATCAGAGAAGTGATTGTTTTTTAATAGATAAGAAAATATTAGCTTAATATTTTGTTACTGTTATTTAATCACTTGTTATTAACTTCGTTTCGCACCTTACGTTGAACATTTATTATTGTTTCCTTTATAATACAGATCCTCAACTTTCCTCACTATATGGACACGTTTCATCATTCCATTTTCGAATTGTGTAATCCACTTATATCATAATCAGTCTATGTGAATAAAAACGATAATTCACAATAATTTCTATGCAGCAACAACAATTACCATTATAGGATAAATCGAGTTCATTCCATGTCGTGTGCTCTAATTCTCTCATGTACGCACTGGTTTGTATCAATACATAAAATGTTTTACATTGTAGCTATATGTGTATGAAGTCATTTAGTTCACCACTAAAATATAGTTATAGCTTCTTTTAATGTGGAGTCTTTAATCACTGATTTCCCACCAGAAGAGACCGTTGACATGCAGTCATGCTGTACTTGCAATAGTACGTACTTTGGAATATCATAGAGACTTATCTAAAAGAACCTCGGGATATACGCCGAATAACTTGGTCGTGAATTGCTCCAAACTACTTGGTGGTGTCATAGGAAGACATAAATTGGACACTAATCATCCAGTAAATCCTGATACTACCTTCCATGTGATAAATATACAGGACTATTTCAGAGTCCTACTTATGCAGAAGGCGCTGTTGTCAGGTGTCTCAACATGAATTTGTGTGTACAACAGGAACTTGTGGTTTACTTGACACTCGAGGTGACCGTTTTGCTGATAACCTTCCCTTCCATTTTTCCTCTATCATCTTTAAAGATATTTTAAACTGTCAGCAATTTCTTAAATCTGCTTAGTTTGCCTAACCTCACTTTCATTTGATCACAGTAACACATTCATTGTTCATTTTAGTCATTTTCATTCCTGATTTGTGGTTATTACAACTGTTGTTATTTTAGCACTATTCAATAAAATGTTTGACCTCTTATCTATTTAGTATTTTGTTTTCGCATATCCTCTTCAACTATTATTGTCATTATTAGTGTTATTATCACCATTATTATGATCACTTTTATAATTGATTTTCGGTTGTTACCATCGATTTCATCATTCTGTCTACTGTAATCATAAAAATTTGTACTTGCTTCTTCTGCCCATTCACGTCATATCCTTCCCCTCACTTAATCTGTCTTGAACGAGAATACAAGCGGAAACAATCGAATGTATTTGAATACAAAATAACAGAACATCTTAGTAAAATCTGAGAACCATACAGTAAATAATTCATTTGAAAAATGTCCATCAATTGTCTCAGACTTTAATGTTCCTTTATTTTTGTACCAATCCTTCTTTGTTCTCGTTCTCTTCTCTTCGATCTTCTCAACCTACTGCCGCCAGGTATTCCATTTTCCATTGATGATACATACTAGTTATATCTGTCAACATCAGCAGCACACACCACAATCCACTCACCCATAAACTAGACTTGTACGAATAGGGTAAGTATTTATAATTATTCTTTATTGATGAACTAATTAACTTCAGACATATTACACATATGGTTACAATGTAAAATGTTTTATCTATTGATACAAATCAGTGGGTACGTGAGAGAATTAGAGCACGTTAAATGACATTAGCTAAATTCATTTCGGAATATTGATTGTTCTTCATGTACAAATGGTTATTGGTGGGACTTAGTGCGTAGAACAATAACTTTGATTAATATTTTTTGATATTTGCACTTCACTAATTGTTTTGTGAATTTCGTAAATTATCTGTAATAATAAAATAATTGTTTCTTTATCTTAAATTTCTGTTTGATCTTAGAATATATTGGTCAATAGAAATATTCTTGTTTAGTGTATAAAAAGAGGGATTTATTGTGTTATTATATGTGGTGATGATCACTTCAAGAAGCATTGAATTTATTACTTACCTATCTTAGTCAATTAAAACAGATTGAAAATGTTTGTATGCAGAATTGAGTTTCACAATTAACTTTCTTGTTTGCTTATACTTTAGAAAGATATTTGTGTAGACTAGTAGTTGTATTGTTCAAGAAATTACCAGAAAAATAAGCTCTTGTTCTCGAAAGTCAGCTTTATTTAGTTTCAATTGTTACGATCTCATTAACTATTGCAAATTGTAAGCAGTGTTTGACTTATCCACTCTGTACTGAATAATTAAGTTTAAGGATAACTGTGAACAGGAACTGATATCTTCTGGAAAATCATTAAATAGCGGAAACCATCAGGCCAGTTTTTGCATTCTGATCTGTAACTGCACGTGCTTTCAACGACTTTCTGTAGTTACTGTCGATTCGTGATAATTACTATTGTGGTGTGTGCTACTGTTGTTGACAGATATAAGTAGTATATATCATCAATGGAAAGTGAAATGCCTGGAGGCAGAAGGTTAAGAAGATCGAAGAAAAGAGAACGATAACAAAGAAGGATTGGTGTGGAAACGAAAGAACAATGAAGTCTGAGACGAATGATTGTCATTTTGCAAATGAATTATTTACTGTATGGTCCTCCTATTTTACTGGGATGTTTTGTTATTTTGTATTCAAATACATTTGATTGTCTCCGCTTGTATTCTCGTTCACTACACTATTATCAGGTTAAATTAGTTTTCACAAATAAGCCAATTAATGAAGTGAAATGAATATTTCCATATTTAAAGATTAGGAAAAAGATTAATTTATCAATGAATTTTCTATTTACTCATCATTATGTATCTGCACTAATGTTGTTTAGGTTTTTCAACCAATAATAAAATAAGTACCAATTATTTAGTAATGAATTAATTAAAACTTTTTATGGATTTTAAGTTATCCATATAAGTAATGACTGCGAATACGATTCAAGGAGTACGATAACTAAGTTTAAAGGTTGTTTATAGTACATAAATTTAAATAGGGTACTCTGTATTTTAGAAATTACTTAATAAAAAACGAAAATCCCAGTTTAAAGTAAAGAGAATAGGTCTCTGGTAAATGGTTTTGTTCTTTCGAGTATATAAAATTTTTGGCGAAATCTGTGATTATTTCATCGGCTGAGGTTGTGAGAACAGTTTAAATTTTTCAGTATACAAGGAATTTTTAATGTGATGAACGTTGATATAGATATATACGTAACTGGCGATATGGATCGAATGGTAGACAACAAACGACTTTGTAATCCGTAAGTTGAGTTACCGTCAGGTATCTACCACCCAGGCTGCCAACTACCCTAGTGTATGTTTTAGAAATTCTACAACATAGTTATCTGGCTGTATTCTCTAAATGAATATGTCTACAGGGCAGTTACACTGTCAAATACTATGAGTGGATGTAGATGTAGAGATAAATATACAGTTTCTCTATAGTAGTTGTTATTTGCAAATTCTTTTTACACAGTTATCATCTGTAATTTTTAATAATGAAAAATGATTAGTTGTTATTTTACCAAACAACGATTCTGGGGATTTATCTCGGTCACTAAGTCTGGCACTTAGTTATGTCAAATGAAAAATCAACTCAATACATAGATTGCTTAACCTTCAATTGGTAGATAACATGTTCAAATTGTATTCCATCTCATTTGGTCTAAATACTATCACTAAACTTATGCATATTGTGCAATGGAAATTCGAGTATGTAAACCTGTATTCGGCGTATGAATTATTAAATGTTAGAATACTAATAATTGTTTCTGAATGATTATTCTACTTTGTTTTCATCCAATTACGATTGGTTTTAAGCTTCTGTAATACATTTTCATATTGTTTATAATGATCGTACTCTCAATATTACTACTCTTTATTTATAACTGAGGCTATTTGATATAAAGTTGATAAATGTAATCACAATTGATTGATCACTGGGCGGTGATCAATGTCATGCTTGTCTAGTCCTTATTAGTGCAGATCGAATGCGAATCCGCCAGGGAGCATCAGTTCCCTCAAGATTACAGGTACACCTTGCTGACGAGTGCCAAGTAGTACGAAACCCGGGTCCAGGGTTTACTGTTGACTACCTCCAACCACCATATAATCTGAGTTGATAAATGTATCAGTAGTTAAGTCGGTTTGTATTATAGTTCTTCATAATTCATTTTAATAACAATAATAATATGATTAAGAATTTTATACTAAACGATAACAGATCCAATTCTATTACGTAAAAATCATTCTTCAGTATACTTATTGATTATTTCAAATTCGTTCGTCATTACTAAATGTGTAAGAATTCATATTACTTCCATGAAGTGATATGTATGTTTTGCACAATGAATTACATATATATACTAAATTTATTCATTTTCTATCTAATTCATATCAATTATACCGTTGAGTATTTACAAAAATCTAATTTGTTTTGTACAGATTCAATGTTAGAAACAGGATTTACACACATTATTTTAAATAGTACACTACCATTATTTGGTAAATTGAAATGGTTCAGTATTGAAAATTTAACGAATATCAATAAATTGCACAAATTAAAAACTATACATTCTCATAAATGTTTTAATAAAACAATTCAAATGTTTGATGATTGTTGGAATTATATAAGACAACTATTTATTGAATATTTAATTCCAATAGAAAATAACAATGATCGAGTTATTATTGAAACATTTGAACAAACTCAAAGAAATGAAACAATAAGAACTATAAATAATGTAACTTATTTGAATTTTTTAAATGCACTATGTTTAACTGCATGTTATAGTCGATATCAAGAAAATTTAGAACCGATTATAAATGATCGTGTTTTTTGTCCATACCCATGTGTTATACAAGAAGACTGTTCATTTAATGAATGTAAAAATTATGGTATATTTACACATGAATATGAATGTCCTTGTGATAATTCAAGTAAATGGGATAGAGATAGTAATGAATGCTTACCAGATAGTATATACAAGATAAGACAAACGAGAAATTATGTAAGTAGATTGATTTTTCATATGGTTATATGGGGTTGATATTGTTTTTTTAATATGAAAAGACACAAAATTTCACAACTTTGAATCTGCTTTTCATTTGCAGACTGACTTCAGAATGGACAACGGTAGTTTTTAAAGTATATATTTACAATTGTGGACGGAGTTAAAAAATATAGTACAAAATTTCCGACTCATCACACTAGCGAACATGTGGAAAAAGTTAATATTATATTACCACTTATTTTCATAATTATAGCAATTAGGAGAAAACTAGAAATTACTG